GTACACGCTGTCATACAGCAACAATGGAATCAGGTTTATACCATACAGACGAGGGAGAAGAGTTCAGGTAATAGGAAACTTTAGCTTCGAGGACGGGAACGACAGCGAAAACGTCACTTTTAAAATGAATTCGCGTTTTTTCAAACTATGTCGCGTTCTTTCCAGTTTGCTGAAAATGTCAAATGTAGGAGTGATTTTCCTTGGAATTGAATTCTTGGGGAACGTACTAAGTTTAGATAGAGAAAGAAAAAATCCTTGTCGCTTGTTTACGTCCTGCATAAAATGTGAAATTCGGCTTTTTCATGTCGTAGTCGTGTAGTGGCGGCAATTTTTTAATAAACGTATTGCTTTTTTGACGTCCTCGTTGCTGTCGCCGTCGTCACAGCTAAAGATAATGTCAAACGACGTGATTAGATTGCTGACCAGAAAGAAAATTTTCTCTATCTACGATAGCTTTAAAGATGAAAATTTCAGCTTCCTTTTGAGAGTCTTCTAGAGAGCCTTCGTCTTTGATATCATTTTAAGTGCGAGATTCAGATCTTGGTTGCTTTTATTATGAATTCTGGTTCTTGTTATTACAGTATCTGCCCGTGAGGTTCCAAGATTATAGTCAGAAGGCAGTAAATCGGTAAATTCTTATTTGCTTCAGTCAGACTCTCAGTCTCTCAGTCAGCCAGTGAGTCAGTGAGTCAGTGAGTCAGTGGGTGAGTCAGTCAGCCAGTCAGCCAGTCAGTCAGTCAGTTTATCAGTCCGTCGGTCAGTCATTTCAACCATATGGTAAATCAGTTTGTTTGTTAGGAAACTTGTTTAATTTAATTTAGTCTGTGCCTTCCTCCGATTTCTTCCCAAAAATGCGTCTGTGTAATGGTGTTGAATCATTTTTCCGAGGAAACGCTGAAACGTCATATTTCTAGATATGCTTTAAAGTGGGTGCAGAGACATTCATTAACTTTTTATTTACAGTAATTTAGTGGTCTGTGCTTGGACGAATTTCCTAAAATAAAGTTCCAACTAATGGAATAAAACTCTGTGAGATGATTTGTGTTTTCTTTATTGTTTAGATATTCCAAGCAAACATGGAACGTCACTTTGTAGTGGAGCATAGGCTCCGTCCCACTATCAAAGCTCGATACGTTCGTATTCATCCCATTTCCTGGTACGGGTGGATTTCAATGAGAATGGAGTTGTATGGCTGCAGACTGGGTGAGTAGTATACGTACAACGTAAGCATCGGCACCAGTTATAATGAGCATGATACCTACAAGCAATACTGGTCAATAACAAATTATTCATTTTCTTTGCCGCGGCAGGATTAGCTCAGTCGGTAGAGTACTTCACAGCAGAGCGGCAGGTTGCGGGTTCGATTCCCGGGGCTCGACCTATACTCAGGGTCTTAAAATAACTGAGAAATGAAGTTAATCCCTTTGCCCTGCAAACGGCTAGACCTTCGCGTGGCTCGGATTGCAACGTAAAATGGCGGTCTCGTCTCCAATAGGAGACGTAAAAATAGTGTCCCCAATTAGTACTTTTGTGCTAAATACTCTATTTCAGACTGTTACAGGCATTTATTGCTGGGAACATCATTTTAAAAAAAGCAAGGGGCTTGTAGAACATACTACGTCTACAATAATCATATCAAACAGTTTTAGAAAACACTCCTTTTTGATGTCAACAGGAACTCTTTGTAATCGCCCAATGGGAATGCAGACAGGCCGAATCAAAAACAACAGGATTACGTCATCATCTGAGTGGGATCGGTACCATGCCCCTTTTCTGGCGCGTCTCCACCGAAGACGACGGGGACGGTACATGGGGGCCTGGTCAGCCAAGTACAACAGTTACTACCAATGGTTGCAAGTTGACTTCGGAAAAGCAGCGAAGATTATTAAGATATCTACGCAAGGACGTCAGGACCTTAAGCAGTGGGTCACGCAGTATTACGTGACACGGAGTCTTGACGCACTGCACTTTGTTCCTTATAAGGAGCGGAACAATATTAAAGTATGAAAGCATCTATTAATTCATAAGTTGTAGATAAACTATGAGCGAAGGGTCATCGTGAATGCCCAGACAGATCTCCCGCGAATATTTTATCGTACAGTGAAACCTTACCTAAGGAATGGCTCAGTTTGTTTTAGACTTTTTCCCGCATATTTTCTGCAAAACGAACCCGTATGGAGGGGACACTGCCGTTAAGCGGACATCTACGACGGTCTCGTGCTTGTCCGCTAATTATAGGTTTCACTGCTACTAATTAATANATCATATCAAACAGTTTTAGAAAACACTCCTTTTTGATGTCAACAGGAACTCTTTGTAATCGCCCAATGGGAATGCAGACAGGCCGAATCAAAAACAACAGGATTACGTCATCATCTGAGTGGGATCGGTACCATGCCCCTTTTCTGGCGCGTCTCCACCGAAGACGACGGGGACGGTACATGGGGGCCTGGTCAGCCAAGTACAACAGTTACTACCAATGGTTGCAAGTTGACTTCGGAAAAGCAGCGAAGATTATTAAGATATCTACGCAAGGACGTCAGGACCTTAAGCAGTGGGTCACGCAGTATTACGTGACACGGAGTCTTGACGCACTGCACTTTGTTCCTTATAAGGAGCGGAACAATATTAAAGTATGAAAGCATCTATTAATTCATAAGTTGTAGATAAACTATGAGCGAAGGGTCATCGTGAATGCCCAGACAGATCTCCCGCGAATATTTTATCGTACAGTGAAACCTTACCTAAGGAATGGCTCAGTTTGTTTTAGACTTTTTCCCGCATATTTTCTGCAAAACGAACCCGTATGGAGGGGACACTGCCGTTAAGCGGACATCTACGACGGTCTCGTGCTTGTCCGCTAATTATAGGTTTCACTGCTACTAATTAATAATTCATCAACTCAGTTGATTTGTGGGTGCATTATTTAACTCAAATATAACCTGTTGATTCGTCTTAACGTTAATGAATGATTAATGCATTTTGCAAATGTACCTATTTCTTTAAAAGTTCAGCTCAGCAGCAAAAGCAGTGGTTTAGTCGGAAATGTTTGTGATACTTGTTTTGGCCTTGTGAAGGGTCTTTTGTGTTTTACTTTCAATATGTTTCTGCACATTAAGGTTGTCACCAGTGCCTCGTTAGCGCAGCAGGCAGCGCGTCAGTCTCATAATCCCAAGTAGCAATCTGAAGGTCGTGAGTTCGATCCTCACACGGGGCACATGTTGCACTTTTTTGAGCTAGGTTTACACTTGAGAAGATTTTTTTCGTATTCATAATTTTCCTGGTTTTTTGATGTTTAGGTTATTCGTATCCGCATGCGTTTACATTAGACACGTATTCGGATACCCATCGTATACACACTGACGGTTACCAATCATTGTTCCGCCATTTTGGTTTGACCGCAAAGTCGTATGATCACAAGCTGAAAAGTATCTGGTTTCTTTGGGAGAATTGTTTACACTGCAAATTGCGGTCTCAACAGTGATCGGATTCAAAAAATAATTCAAATTAGAAGTTGGATTTAAAATCACGTATCTGCGTATAAACGACAAAAGGAATCTAGTACCAAAATGTTCTGGATTCATGACGAATCCGGAAGAATGTAATTCGCACTAATCGTATGATGACTATACCTGTATCGCAAAACCTCGTTAAGCTCATGGGAGAGTGACTCATAAATGATAGGGTTGGGAGGGTGGGAGAGAAAAAGACATGGTTGCTGATTCTTTAACTGGAACGCAGACCTTTGGGACGCATCTCTGCGTCTAAACTCGCTGAAATTACTCTACAGATGAACAGAACGAAAAGGAAATTGTCTCTGAAAATTCATGTTTTTTAGAAAGAGTTAATTTATCGGATTTTAATAACTATCGCATGCTATTCTTGAAAAGTGTTTTGTTTCACTTTCTCTTGTTTTCCTGTGTTTATTTTGCAGTACTTCACAGGCAACCGTGATCGAAACACTGTGGTCACAAACTCTTTCGTCCCGATTTTGCGTTGCCGCTATATCCGCGTTCATCCCAGAAGATGGTACAAACATATTTCAATGAGAGTAGAGTTCTACGGTTGTCTCACAGGTACTTTGTACAATTTAGAAGTAAAGGCAATTATCTTTTAGGGGTAGATTTCATCTGAATAAACAGGAAAAAAGTACTGCAGAACTGATCGAACAACGCCTTGCTCTGTGATTTTGCTGATAGATATGGTTAAACATTTAAATCCAGATCGTGAAACGCAGCAGAATACGAGCGAGGTATGAATGACGTTATTAGCAAGAATCATATACTAAACGATATTGCTGATTACAGTTTCAGATCATTATACGACCATTCTTCGTTCCTGGGAAACTGCCCACCGTCGCCACCGACCCCTCCCTTAAGTCAACATTTTGCCCTAAGTGAGAAGTAAGTGTTAATGTTGGATTAGGGGAGGGGTAAGTGGGCAGTTTCTCAGTAACGTATAATGATCCACAGGTTCTTGGTTTTGCGGATTGGTGGGATCACTAAATGACGTAATACAAATGGCTGGAAAGACACTGAACTATAATCCACACTATTACACAACACCTAACTAACGATGATTTTTCAATACTAAGAAACACCCTGATTACTACTCCTAATTGATTTTATCTCACTTGCTCAAGTCCTAAGGAATCTAGCTTTGAATTGATCAGTCTTGTAGGACGCTTTTTCGTTTACGTATAAAATGTGGACTGATCACTGATCTTTCTTGACCCAGCGTTAATAACAAAGGGTCATCGTTTTCGTCTTCTTCTTCCCTACATATTTAGTTGAGTCTAAATCTATAACTATATAACTATAACTATATGGCTATAACTTTGGCCTATCGTTAGAGGCTGAGATCGGGTGTTTTTCGATGGTTTTTGCGGAGGGAGAACCGGCGACCATACTTGACTTTGACCTCACACTGCTACGACATTACACATAACATACACGGTTTTAAAGAAAGAACGTTTGCTTTATTGTTAAGATCGTTGTGTTATGCCATTGGGTATGGAAGACCAACGAATCCTGTCGGGCCATCTTCGGGCATCGTCGTCGTACAATTACAATCACGGACCTGACCGAGCGCGTCTGAACATCTACGCCGGTCATGGGCGAACAGGAGCCTGGGTAGCGAGATATCGCAACACGAAGCAGTGGCTTCAAGTTGACTTGAGGCAGATGAGTATTATCAAAGGCATTGCTACACAGGGACGTAGAGAGGCCCATCAGTGGGTCAGAAGTTATCATTTATCCTACAGCCGATTTGGAAGCCGATTTAGGGCATATGTAGCTTACGGTAGAGTGAAGGTTGGTTTTGGATTTTGTCTTACAAANTCGTACAATTACAATCACGGACCTGACCGAGCGCGTCTGAACATCTACGCCGGTCATGGGCGAACAGGAGCCTGGGTAGCGAGATATCGCAACACGAAGCAGTGGCTTCAAGTTGACTTGAGGCAGATGAGTATTATCAAAGGCATTGCTACACAGGGACGTAGAGAGGCCCATCAGTGGGTCAGAAGTTATCATTTATCCTACAGCCGATTTGGAAGCCGATTTAGGGCATATGTAGCTTACGGTAGAGTGAAGGTTGGTTTTGGATTTTGTCTTACAAACTGTAGTATCTTTTTTCTTGTACCGTATTTCCTGGAATAAGCGTCCACGCTCTAATAAGCGCCCACCTCTTAGGTCAAAATATCAAACATGCACCCCCTAGAATAAGCGCCCTCCTCCCCTTCCCCATCACTTTTTTTAATAGTAGGGATACAAGGAAACCTTAATAGTAGGGATACAAGTAAAACCTGTTTCTATTGCCTCTTTAATGATAACTCTATGTGTAAACTGTATAATGTAACTAAGGTACGCTTGATTACCAACAGGAGAACTTAATAAGCGCCCCCCTCGATTAAGCGCCCTCTTCCCATAAGCACCTATCCTTTCAGCCGAAATTTTAAATAAGCGCCGGGCGGTTTTTCAAGGAAATACGGTAATTTCTCTTTTGTGCCTGCCCCCTTCAACAAAGTAACTCAGTGCATTCTTATTTTGAAATGAGAGTTATCAATAAACAATAATTTTCCACTGTCTTTACTCTTTCGTACAAACAAAGTGGTCAGCCTTTATTTTGAATCAACTTGTTAATGAAGCGATTCTCTTTAACTTATTTAGTAACTGGATCTAACAACATTAGGAATTTTAAACCTTCTCTTAATTTACAAATGAGCAATTAAGCATTCTATTTACTACTATTAGTATTATTTTTATTATTATCATAATTTTTTCTCTTTGTATATTTCCAAATATTTATATAATTATCTCCTTAACTTAAAATCGTATTAAGTATTTTCTCTCTCTGTAGGTCTTTCGAGGTAATTATGACATTTATCACACGGTGGGTCACAAGATTTTGCCAGCGATAAAAGCACAGTTTATTCGTATTCACCCCCGATCTTGGTATAGTTACATTGCCATACGTGTGGAGCTGTATGGATGTCGTGCACGAGGTAAGGTTAATTTTCAGTAACGTTTGTTGTAACTAGTGGTAATCCGTTGTGTTTTTGAATTTTTAAGATGGTACTTAGAGAAATTATGAAAATTCAGATGTTTGAATGGAATGGACCTTTTTGGCTTGTATGCTTTGTTTTCCCACGCTTTTGGGGAAGTGCGTTCTCAGTGCCTGCCTTACTCAAGTGGCGTTTCACATGACGTCACGGCGACCATATTGGTGTCTCAAAACAATGAAACGGCGGCCATGTTGGTGTCCCAAACCAGTCCTGTGGGAGTTGAACTCCTTTCTTATGCAAACGCTTTCTTTTGTTCCAATAAATTTGCATAGATCCTAGCCACGTGAGTGGAAACACTCAATAGGGCCATTTATGCGAGGAAAAATATGACGCGTCTTACAAAAGACAGGTCCTAGATAAGCCGCGAACTATCCCGTGTAAACGGCACATAATTAATCGTTTGTAATTTCATAAGAAGCGTCTTATCTAAGAACAGTCCTTAACACCTGTTCTTCGTTAAGACGCGTCTTAGCCAAGTCGCGTCTTTATGTGCCATTTATGCGGGATAGTTTGCCTCTTATTTAGGACGCGTCTCATGAAAGACGCGTCTTATCTTTCCTTGTGTAACAGGCCCTAATGTGATTTCTAAAAGGTGTAACTCTTTATTTGTGTCAGAGCGATTTTACAACAGACCTATTGGCCTGCAAAACTACCGAATTAAAAATGCGGCCATCACAGCTTCGTCTCAGTGGGATCAGAATCACGCACCCTGGTTGGCGCGGCTTCACCGGTCGCGTCGCGGACGGTTCATTGGCGCCTGGTCTTCCCGCCGCAATGATTATAAACAATGGCTGCAGGTTGATATGGGAAGGTCAATGAAGGTCACAGGAATTGCTACTCAGGGACGGCAGGACGCTGACCAGTGGGTCACTGCGTACTATGTGTATATTAGTTCGGATGGAGTCACCTTCGCCAAAGTCAAACACTGGTGGAATTACGTCAAGGTAGAGTTTTTTCCATGGCACTGACAACCGAGAAGTTATGTTCTTATTACGTAGGCTTGTAATAGCTGGATACCGTCATAAAGCGCAAAAAAAAAAGCAAAAAACTTCGTCCAACAGTTTATATTAGGTAATTCCCCAGCGTTTTTACAATGAATATATACTCAAGACCCAAGACAATTATACCTGTTAAAAAGAACAAGGGCTGAGAAGATAAATATAATAAATATATAATATTTTACGAGGAGACCTCCAATCACCTAACGGTGGTTTTCAGGAGGGTCCTCTAAAATGAAGGTAAAAAATACATTAAAAATAAAACTAAAATACGGCTAAAAACTAATACAACTAAAGTGAATTTCTAATCGTTTTTCTTGCTGTTTAGACGTTCCAAGGCAACAGAGACCGGATGTCAGTTCAAACACATTCCATCGATCCTCCAATTTACGGCCGTTATGTTCGAATCATACCACGTGGCTGGAGGTCGCACATTTCAATGCGACTGGAACTGTATGGAGGACCATGGAGTAAGTGATATAGTAGTAGTTTTCTAAAGTGGAAAATAAATGAGTTCACTCTCAAAGTTAGAAATGATACTACAGTCGGACCTCCACTAACGGCCACCTCTCTACGACGGCCATTTTTTTTTTGGGGGGGGGGTAAGGGGGGGGCAGTCCATGTCTTCACTCTTCTTTCAACCTCTCTACAACGGCCTTTTTTTGGGGGGGGGGGGGGGGGGGGCGTTCAGTCGTGGTATTTATGTCTTTTTCATCCTCTCTTTTATGTGCAGTTTTTTCTGTTTCCCTCGTGGCCCTTGTGTCTAAGTGCTATCTTTTGTTTTTTCATGTCTTCTGTTTTTTCTGCTCTCCACGTTACTCTAGAGACACTGTCGTTGTATACGGAAGGGTGTGAGAGTTGATGCTGTACTCTCTGTGTGTCGAGTGTCATAGAGCAGAGTTTGCTTTGTCTCGTCGGAGATGGGTGCGAGCGCATGCCCGCCGGTCGCCACTCTACCTCCCACTGCCTGCTCCGGTGTGTTTTGTGGGGGGGGGGGGGGGAGGGGCGGGCAGTCCATGTATTCACTCTTCTTTCAACCTCTCTAGAATGGCCACTTTCTTCTGTTCCCAAGGTGGCCGTTGTACAGAGGTGCTACTGTATGTATTGGCGGATTAATCTTTGTATGCAGTTAATGACTTTGTCGTCCTCTGTCCTCGTCCTAAAAACTGACTATACTTGGAACATATGTTTACGTTTTGAGCACGGCCTATCCTGGAATCATTCACCATTCAAAGAAATTTGAATCAAGTTATGCAGAGTCACAAGGCCCAAACACTCTCTTCATTTTTTCCTTCCACTTTTGCTATTTACATTCTACACTTCACTTACTTTCATTTGTTATTACATACTAGAATACTTGGCATAACGTTCGTACTGACATAATATAAGTTTAACAGTGGCGGATCCGGGGGAGGGGCCTTGGCGGCCCTTGCCCCCCTTATTTTTAGACCAAACTGAGGCCCGAATGGCCGAAAAATTTTTTTTGAGACTCCCCCCTTATTTCAGGATCTGGATGACCGCCCCCCCCCCTTATCTGATCGCATGAAGGTCTGGAACCGTCACTGAGTTATGCTACTCAAGCTTGTCTTGCTGCTGACAGTTCACAACCTCAGTCTCGTCACCGGTCGCTGCTCGAACAACTTAAAAGAAACGTGTTGAATCAATGGAGGCCCGTACGAAAATGTTTCCTTCCCAACATTCCTTGCATTCCTCATTGCCAAACTTTTATCGCTTTAAAGATAAGTAAGGACTTTGTCAATCTTCATTCGGCTGTGGTAAAATATGACAAAACAATTCTTCACTTGTTTTCGCATCCTGAAGATTCTTCACATTTGACGATTGTTAATGACAATTTATTTTCATCAGATCGTTGTGACATGCCCCTGGGTCTTGAAGATGGTCGTGTACCGGATCCACTCATACGCGCTTCTTCCTTCTATAACTACTACTGTGGACCGTTTAACGCAAGGCTCAACAGACGGCGGTTCGGGAGGCAGGGAGGGGCCTGGTGCGCAAAGGGGCGAGACAGGCGTCAGTGGCTGCAGGTGGATTTTGGCGCGCTTTCAACAGTGTCAGCTGTCGCTACTCAAGGAAGACAGAACTCAGCTCAATGGGTTACGAGTTATTATATATCCTACAGCAGAAATGGCTACAAGTTCGCTCCTTACAGGGAAGGCAGGCGTACACGGGTGAGGGCTCTTGCTTGTTTGTTTTATTTGTTTTATTTATTTACCACACAATAATAGAAATTACGTAGAAAAAAATGGCGAGGAGACCTAACAGAATGTGTCTATGTGACGTTTAACGCGCAATCGATAATCCCTTGTTTTACTCTTGCAAAGTGTATACTGTGTAAACTGCCATCGTGGTCTTTTTGACATGCTCAGTTCAGTCTACTTGCAGACGTTTCTTTTTCCTTTGCTTCATAGAAGATGTCTTTGGGCAGGCTCTTTGAGATAACGTAGTTTTAGTTAAAATGTTTAATTCATCCATTCTTTTACCTTTAGATATTCCAAGGCAATTACGATCGATTCATAATCGTGCGGCACCGGCTGAAAAAACGCATCACAGCTCGCTTCTTCAGGATACACCCAGTCACGTGGTATAGCTGGATCTCTATGCGTGTGGAATTTTATGGCTGTGTAGTCGGTAAGTAAATAGAGACCTTTAGATTCAAGGACGAGGACGACTAAGAGTACGAGATTTGACTTAAAGTTTTTTCGCGTATTCTCAAAATATAGACTTCCCGGAAAGCTTCATTTTACCATTTGTTACTAGGAAAGTTAGCACTGTTACCTTTAGTGAAGGAGGTTATACCCTCTCCCGATCTTAAAATGATAAAACTACTAACATTTGATAACTTGTTTCCGCCACTTCGACATTCTCGCTAAGACTCGTAGCAGAGTGACGACGGCTACCACATTTGCCCGCCAAAATGATGCTGGCTCACGCGCGTGCTCTACTTAGTATTGAGAGAATCTCGTACTCGTAGTCGTACTCGTCTTAGAATCTAAAGCTCTCTAATAGCCTGTAGAACGGGCATTACTTTCTGCGGTTTTTAGGCTTTTTTATGCGTGGAGTGCTAGACACGCGACACGGGGAGGCTCCTTTCTCGCCGCGTGCGTGAATGTTTACACTTTTCATCCACAGACTCAAAAAGTTAATGTTCAGCATAGAAAATGTCACCAAAGAAAGTACTCCTTAGTAGCTTTATTTCAAAGGTAATATCTTACGATTTCATCCAAAGTCACAATTGTTAAATTTTAACTTAATATCTCCATATCGAACCGTCGAAGGTGAAGTGCTAAAACGATATTTTCGCGGGATTGTCTATATTGTAGGACCAAGGTGCAACAAGCCCCTGGGCTTACAAAATGGCCGTATCCGTTCATCACAACTGACCGCTTCATCCAGCTGGGACCGAAATCACGGCCCTAACAACGGCAGACTTTATTTCCACCAGCGCGGAAAGAGTGGAGCCTGGTGCGCGCGCCATAACAATCGTCTCCAGTGGTATCAGGTTAACTTTGGTCGCGCCACACGGGTGGTGAAGGTTGCTACGCAGGGGCGAAAGGATTACCGTCAGTGGGTTACTCAGTATTATTTGTCGTTCAGTCAGGATGGGATACATTTTGCGGACTACAAACAAAACAGTAATCGAAAGGTAAGAGAGTCGAGGTTAATTTTTCACGTTGACAACAAATCTTGGTCTTCAGAGAGCAGTAAAAAGGAAAGGCTTGTTAAATTTCGTCTACAGCAGACTAAAAATGAATACACTATACACAATAAATGAAATGCTTTTGACTTCGTCTCGTTTTCCCTGTTTTTGTTCCAATGTTTACGTACAAAGTTGTATTTTACTTTTTCCTGCATTTTGCCAATTTCATTGCCTTAAAAAGGGAAAAAGATCCCGTGCCCCGTGTGAGGATCGAACTCACGACCTTCAGATTTCTTCTTTATAGATTATGAGACTGACGCGCTGCCTACTGCGCTAACGAGGCACTTACAAATTTTGCTATAAAACTAACTATTTTAAAAGGAACAACGACAACATGTAAAATAGTTTGCTAACTTGTAGAACACATCCTTAAGTATTTCACAGGAAACAGAGATCAAAACAGTGTAGTCCAGCACGGGCTTTATCCCAGGATCAAGGCGTACATCATCCGGGTTCATCCGTGGGGATGGTACCGACACATATCCATGCGGGTGGAGTTTTACGGATGTAGAGAAGGTGAGATGAATGAAAAAGTTCTTCTCCTGAGAGCGGCTACAAAATGATTACAAAACAAATATTTATCCCTCAAGAAACCTTGCATAGAGTCCTAATTCTTTCATTTGCTGATCCAAAAACTAAGGCGGCAAAAAAAAAAAAGCGTGTAAACGTTATGAAGGTACTACCGGCGTTTCGACGGCGGAACAAATTTCCAAGTGGGGAGGTGACTGGTGTCTTGAAGTGGGGGAAGCCCTCCCCAGCCCCCCTCAGCTCCGTCGTCCCTCCGAGGGCCCTCCAAACCTCCCGGAAATTCGTCTTGTAATGTTTCGATTACGAGAAGGAGTGTTTCAGCCGCTATCTTAGAAACCGAGAAGTAATATACTGTCAAACTGAAAATGGATTGCTTCAGCCTAGAGCCAGAACTGAGAAGTAGACTGAAAATAAAGTGGTTGTCCACATAAAGTGAAATACTCTTTGAAACTGTAGAATGTTTGCTATACCTTCTCAAATGATCATTGATTCATGAAAAAAAGGAACGACAGAAACAAACCTCGCAAAGCTTAGAGTTAGTAATTACCATCACATTTCGAAATCTCTTCTTCAAGGTAGTAGTTTTCGTTATTTTCACTTTGAAAATTGTTAATACGTGTATAAAAAATTCCTTCCAATTTTCAGATCGTTGTGTCATGCCACTTGGTTTAGAAGACAAACGGGTTCCAAACGGACATTTGACCGCCTCAAGTTATTACAACTATCGCCTTTCACCCTGGTATGGCCGACTCAATAGTATCTACTCATGGAGCGTGCGCAGAAATCGTGTGGGTCAGTGGTTCCAAGTGAACTTTGTGGAGTTAATGCGTATAAAAGGCGTGGCCACTCAGGGCCGACAGAACGCCAATCAGTGGGTTAGAAGCTACACAGTCAGATACAGCGTTGATGGAATGAGCTTCAGACCATACAGAGAAAATAGGCGTGCAAAGGTATGTATTGCAGCAAGGTTATGTGCCTTAAGTCACAAGTACATTAAGTTCTGGCTCAGGTCAAAGTTTAGATAGTCATACAATGATATACGCCCTCAAAGTCATTAGGGAACTTAAGCAAAGGCGTTTTTGAGCGACGCGCGTCAACCGGAAGTGAGGTCTTTTTATTTTAAAGCACGTTGACGCTACCAAATTTGTATTTCTAATTGTCTTTACTATTACAGAGACAATTTGTCCAAAAATTTGTGCAACACTGCCGTCCAAAAATGAAGAAGACCACTTCCGGTTGACCTGCGTCACTCAAAAACGTCTTTGCTTAAGCTCACTTTTGTCTATATGGAGAAAACTTTGGGGTAAAACGTTCACTCGCCCACCCGAGCTAACTTGGGCGAGCCAACGTTTTCTATATTTTCTTACAAAACTTAGCAAACCGTTTACATGAGAACAAATAATTGCCTCGTCTAGAAGGATGACCCGCCTATCCGAGTTTGGTTTGCTAAAAGAGGGGAAATTGAAACCGATCATAACTTTCGGGCACGCGTTTCCGCCAATGTGGTGCGAGTTGCATATTTTTGCTGGAGTTTTGATTGGTTTGTTCGGTTGCATGTGTGTGCTTGTCCGAAGTAGTTAGTTTCCTGTTCTAAATAACGTGGATTACTTTTTTTGTTTGTTAATTTTTTCTAGATATTCATCGGAAACACAGATCGTCATTCCGTAGTTTATCATCAGTTTGTCAGACCGTTTAAAGCCATTTACGTCCGCATCTACCCAAGAAGTTGGTACGGCTGGATTTCCATGAGAGCGGAGCTTTACGGCTGCTCGGGTACGAATGCGCTTGCGCCACCGATTTTGCACGTCAGCTGATGTTGGTAGCTTTTCCTTACCAGAGGTAACCCAGGGTATACTAATGGTATTGGACACAAAGCATCAATCATCCTCGGAGACCCAGGGGCAGTCAGTCGCCCGGGTCGGGAGGAAAGGCGCTACGAACGTTTTCAAGCACTAGCGGAAGAGCCCCTGGGTATCGACACTCACCAGACCATTTCCAAACGGTCAAGCGANAAACACAGATCGTCATTCCGTAGTTTATCATCAGTTTGTCAGACCGTTTAAAGCCATTTACGTCCGCATCTACCCAAGAAGTTGGTACGGCTGGATTTCCATGAGAGCGGAGCTTTACGGCTGCTCGGGTAAGAATGCGCTTGCGCCACCGATTTTGCACGTCAGCTGATGTTGGTAGCTTTTCCTTACCAGAGGTAACCCAGAGTATACTAATGGTATTGGACACAAAGCATCAGTCATCCTCCGAGACCCAGGAGCAGTCAGTCGCGCGGGTCGGGAGGAAAGGCGCGACTAACGTTTGCAAGCACTAGCGGAAGAGACCCTGGGCATAGACACTCACCAGACCATTTCCAAAAGGTCAAGCGAATGGTGGCTCCTGATTGGGCACAAAAAAATGCTTTGTATTATTGTGCCCAATCGGTGAACAGCATCTACTGAGTTCTTTTGCAATTTCAAACGAGGTTTGGTGGTGAAATTTGTTCATCTGACGTAAACATGCATAAGGGCTATTTGTTGCTTGCCTGCTTAAAAAGCAAATCTCGTTTCCTAGACGTTTAACCAACAAGAAATTGTGAAGGTTGGCTGGAATTTTGGATTTTAACCTTGTGGCTTTTCGGCAAAGTTTTAAGTCATGTGCTATGTTATGCTTCTTTCCTCCATTCCTAGCGTCCCTCTGTAACCGCCCCTTGGGTATGCGAAATGGTCGTATACGCAATCACAAGATCACCGCCTCATCATCGTACAACCGTTTCCATGCTGCATGGCTTGGGAGACTGGGAAGAGTTAAGACCGGGAGGTATATTGGGGCCTGGTGCGCAAAACACAAGAATTATAATCAGTGGTTCAAAGTCGACTTTGGTAGACCGATGAAGATTACTAAAATTGCAACTCAAGGAAGGCAGGATGTGGGGCACTGGATAACGTCATACTACGTGTCGTTTAGTGCTGACAACATTCATTGGGCGATGTATCGGTTTAGAAGTGTTAACAAGGTAAGAAGGATCAGAAAACATAACAACTGGTTTTTGCTAAGCAACCAGATTAACTGGTGAACTTGTATTGCGTTACTAGGGCTGTAAAAGGGACCTTTTGCGATGATAACCGCGCCACGGCTGCGACATGAAATAAAATAAAATAAAATGTGTTGCGTTACTAGGGATATAAAAGGGACCTTGTGTAACGTTAAGCTACAGTAAAACGGGCAACAAAAATCGTGTCACTGGTTCTGCAACATTGCTGCAAAACGAGTCGTATACCGATGTTGCACGTTTTATCACTCACGTTCGAACCTGTCTTGCAACAAATAAGGTTGTAAGGTTTGTTTTCGTGGGTGGTAAAACGCGCAACATTGCTATTCAACTCGTTTTTCAGCAATGTTGCAAAAAAAGTTGCACGTTTTTTGTCGCCTTTTTTACCGTACCCTTAACTGCACCGCCACCGCTACGTCAAGAGAATGAGAAAGAAAATGAAAATGAGGATAAGGGTTATGATGACAAAGAACATGAGAGTGGAAATGAGAATGAAGATGAGGATGAGGATGAAAGCAAAAATGAGCACGAGGATGAGGATGAAAAGGAATATGAATATGAAACTGAAAACAAGGAAGAAGATGAAAGTAAAAATAAAAAAAATATGAAATTGAAAATAAAGATGAAGATAATAATGAAGATTATGATGACGATGATACTCACGATCATAAGCTATGAATACACAAGATTTTTAGCTCATGATTCCCTTTCTCTGTACAGCGATGATGAGTTTGAGGACTCGTCGCTAAATTCCTCATTTTTGTTTAATCGTCAACAGCTTTTCCAAGCAAATCGCGACCAGAACAGCATTAAAATGAACGCCATTAACCCTGCCATTAGAGCTCGCTTCATCCGTCTTCATCCTCGAGGCTGGCATGGATACCCGTGTCTGAGAGCAGAATTCTACGGATGTGCCGTTGGTAAGTTGCTTTTTTAATTGGTCTACCTGCGGACTTAGTCTTCCTAAGGGCGTTAGCCCGTATCACGGTCATTACTCCATTTGAGGGTATCATCTCATGTCATGCGAAGGAATACTGTTGAAAATCAAGGGCTCTAATGCAAGTTAATCGGTCTAGCAGATAAGGAAGAAGAGAGAAAGTGAAAGAAAAAGAGGAAAGGGAAAAAGAAACAACAATGATTTCAATCTTAGTATTTATGATGGCCACCTTTAAAAATAGTCTTCTTTTGGTAGGCTGCATCTTGTCTTTGAAAACTTGGATACTTGAAATTGCTAATATCTTGTCCCAATGGGATGTTATTTTCTTTCATACTTAGACTTTAATTAAAACAATAGAAAATTAAAACCTCAAAAGATCAAGACTAAATTTCGGTTAATTTATACAGCTAGACAACAATTATCTACAAAGTTGTATTTATAAGCAGTATTAATCAGAATTTTCTGTTTGCAATTATTTGTAATTCGCACAGACTGAAGATGTTGATAGTGTCTGAACAATTTTGTTGTCTATCCTCCTCGTCATGCCATTTCGTGCTTTGAACAGATCGGTGTGACGTCCCACTCGGAATCCAAGATGGCCGCATCACTCGTTCTATGTTCTCCGCCTCCTCCATGTACAACCACTACTACGGTCCCTGGTGTGCCAGACTTCAGGCACAGAATCGAGGCCAAATCAGAGGAGGCTGGATCGCTAAGTATAGGAACACCAAACAATGGTTGCAGGTTGACCTGGGAACTGTTTCAATTGTCAAGCGAATCGCTACCCAGGCTCGATATGATGCAAATCAATGGGTGACGTCATACACTGTTTCCTACAGCAACAATGGTGTCAGATTTTTTCCTTACAAGCAAGCGAGAAGAACCAGGGTAGGGATACTTCTGTTTTTCTATAAGTCACATATATCCTAATTTTCACTCATTGAGTGCAAACGATATGACACTTTTTCTCTTCAATAACGTAGATCCCGTTGTTTTGTCTGTCTGTCTGTAAGAAGCTTGGCCATTTTATTTTTCTGGCCTTCGAAAAACGTGAAAGTAGATCATTAAACATAGCAACAATAAAGTTAGCATTTTCCGTGCAATTATAGCCATTATTATTATTTACAATGATAAAAGTTCTTTTCTTGTTTTTTTGCCTTTACCTAACATAATCAATATTGTAATCGGCAATGCCATCTACTCATGGAAATGCCAATAAATGTTGTTGTATTTGTTGTCTCAACATGGATGGTACGCAATGTGCACATGTGTCCACGAACCTCTTTTATCATTTGGCTGGCTTCCCGAGCACGCAAGATAAAGTAAATCCTGCGTTCTGATTGAATACTGCCAGGTCGAGTTTTCCCTCTAGGTCCTACAAGCCATATTATAAATTTTTCTTAATGACCAAGCTTCTTTGGTCAAGATCGCTGAACAAGTTGGATAGCGCTTCCACCGGATAAATCACCGCACAGTGAATAAGTACTGGGGAAGCCAATTGCGTCATCCACTAGATAGTGATTTATCAATTGGATAGCGTTGTTCACCTTTTGAACAACTGGAGCCTTATTTTGCGTTTGTATGGATCTTGTTCCGAGATAGAGACTGTCCATTAAAACGCAAAAAGAGAACTTGCCCAACATTCGTCCAGCTTGGCCTCTCGCTTGGTCAGTAACGAACGGTATATATTGTAACTTTTGGCCCCAGTCATTCAATAGGTGGATAGCGCTACCCACCGTATAAATCTCCATCCTGTTGACAGCGTAATTAGTTTGCCTTATGGTTATGCACTGGATAGTGATTTATCCGGTGGATAGCATTATCCAACTATTGAAAAACCAGGGCCATAACTGTCAAAGTACAACACTTTTACTGACGTTTTTACTGGCATTTTTAGCTCTTCCAAGGAAACAGTGAACGTTACTTTGTGGTGGTGCACAGGCTACGCCCGGCCGTAAGAGGGCGTTACATTCGTATTAACCCAAAGTCCTGGTATGGCTGGATTGCAATGAGATTGGAGTTGTTCGGCTGCAGACTAGGTATGTACCATGAACCTTGAAATCATGAAGATAGCTCACAAACAGAGTTACGTTAGTCTTTTTTTTCGTTACCTTATCAACTCAGACAACTGACAAAATACGAGTCATAGAGAGGAAGCTGCTGTCTTTTGTACCCATGTAATTCCTGGTAATAGGCCATTTTACAGTTGTGTGCTCAGTGCCCTAGCCTTTGAATAGACGCGAGGCTGGCGGTGACCTTGTTTTGTTACAAACCTTCTTGTTTTTCATATGTAAATGATCATGTTCACGGGCTTGTTAGCATGAGAATACCACGATTTGCACTTGAAAAGCAGGCAGGTTTGTAACAAAACAAGGTCACCGCCAGCCTCGCGTCTATTCAAAGGCCAGGGCACTAAGCACACAACTGTAAAATGGCCTATTAAAAAATTCTTTACAATTCTTTGTGCCTTTCGTACATCGCGTATCGCTTTTCGATCCATATAAGATTCCAACCCACCCCGCCCCCAACCCCGAAATTTAAAGTGTTAACGCTGCGTTAGGGAGGGGTAGGTGCTGACCTCATTTTTTACTTTTTGTGGAGGCACCTGATATAGTGCCTAGCACATCTTAACTCCTTGACTTGGGCCCTGGACGTGCAATCATCGTATTCCATTGGACTAAAGACTCTTTAGTAAACATTGTATTCCTTTCTTTTTATTGTTTAAATTGGTAACAAAGGTACAAGTAGAGTTGGCCATGCGAAAAACTCGCATCCCCTCACCGGGGGATAGCAATAAATTCTTTTCAGCGAACCCATTATTTTTTAGTTGAACAGTTTGCTTCTTCAGGGGAGAGAAGAACTATCGTTTTGACCACCATATTGGTTAAATGTTGATTGAGGTCTGTACTCCTAGTTGTTTCATGATACACACTCAAGAACCAGGCCAAACTCAGGCTGTAAGTGTAGTTGTGCTATAGTAGCCCTATACACCTACCTATTTACTTTGTGTTTTAATAACGATTCAAATTTGAACAATAGGAAAATTGTGTAATCGTCCAATGGGACTTCAGAACAATCGACTGAAAAATCACTTCATGACGTCATCCTCCCGCTGGGACAAATACCATGGTCCTTACCAAGCACGTCTTAACATCCGTCGCCATGGACGCTACATAGGGGCGTGGTCGTCTCAGTACAATAATCGGTATCAATGGCTTCAAGTTGACTTCGCTGGACCAGCAAAAATTATCAGAATTTGCACTCAAGGGAGGCAGGACCTAAACCAGTGGGTCACGCAGTATTACGTGACTCGCAGCTTAGATGCTGTTAATTACCGGCCGTACAAGGAGCGAAATAATATCAAGGTATATTTTTTGTCAGAAAAGCTAATTGGTCTGGTAAATTGTAAAGTTTCAGATTGTCTGTATGTTTTCGTATTTTGTGTGAGTAAGCGTTACTTTCATTTGGTCAAGTCTTTACAGTAATCTGCGCGGAAAGCTCGTAGCGAGCCCGAAATACCCCGTCTCGTTTGGGGTAAGACCCCTGGTACGCAGGGCAGCATTGCTACTTCACATCCGATGCTAAGTTAACTTAGTGTTTTTACAATTATAATTATTATATTTTGTCAACGGTTTTCGCTCCTATTTTTCAGTATTTCTCAGGAAACCGCGACCAGAATACCGTTGTCTGCCACCCTTTCATCCCCGCTCTTAGATGCCGCTATGTGCGTGTTCACCCATGGGGATGGTACCGACACATATCTATGAGAGCCGAGTTTTACGGATGCCGAACTGGTAAGGAGTAGTCAGTTACCACCTTAGAAAAAAACAACTGTTCTCCAGTGTTACTTTTTTGTTTGCAAGGAGGCAAACGGTTGACAAATATACTTGTCGAGAACAATACACAGCTTTTACTGTCCACTCGTTTATTTAGTGCTGTTGTGCTCTGCGATCGTAGAGTGGGACACGGTTGGTATAGATATAATCACACACCATTTACACATAGGAAAGTGAGATCTATTTGTTCTATACGTTGAACAGAACAACAGCAATCGTTCGATCGTTCAATCGTTAGCGTTGGATTGTTCCAAGATTTGGTCCAGTTTAAGCAAGAACTTTTTTCGTTGCCTCGGTTTCTTCTTTTTCTCAAGTGGAAATATCTCCTGCTAAACATTTTTGTGGCCAGTAGTTGGAGAACACATGGAAAGCAATTTCTGTGACGTCGTCCGTATGTCTGTACTCTGACAGATCATAGCTAACGACCAATCACAGCGGGTGTAGCATTGCATACCGGCCTACCATGGGCTGTCACCTCTTAGAATGTCACATCTTTTAGTCTTACTGGTGTGATTCTTCCCCTCGCAGATAAATGCACCATGCCCCTCGGTATAGAAGACCGAAGAATCCTATCGGGTCATCTTCGAGCGTCGTCGTCGTACAATTACAATCACGGACCCGACCGAGCGCGTCTAAACATCTACGCCAGCCACGGGAGAACGGGAGCCTGGGTTGCAAAATATCGCAACACCAAACAGTGGCTACAAGTTGATTTGCGACAGCTGAGTATCATCAAAGGCATTGCTACACAGGGACGAAGAGAAGCCCATCAATATGTATCAAGATATACTTTGTCTTACAGTGTGAAGGGCCTACGGTTTAGGCCTTACGTAGCTTATGGCAGAATAAAGGTAAGACTGTGATCATCGGTAACAGATGTTGTAGCAGAATATCTTTACCTACATCATCGAAGGCGTTGGCCTTTCCTGACTTGTCTATTGATTCTTTACTAATCAGTTTCTCCAGAAATTAATATATTTGGAACATGACGTAAGTATATTCTTGAAGAAATTCATCAGGCTAGTGAAGTCAATAAGTCGATTTAAATGTTCTTAAAACATAGCCAGTCTTGACGTCTTAATGATGCTCACAGTTTCGATGACTGTGAGCCATCTTTATCAAAACTTGAAAAACATTAAAAGTGTCAGAAGCCTTAAATAGGCTTCTGAGTGTTAGTTATTGCGATAAACGCGCAAAGTCTATGAACAGGGACGAGGGAGCCTATCAGCTTTCTCCCATATAGACACAAGTGATCTCCAGAGTGACTTTGCGCGTTTATCGCAATAATTAACACCTTCAGAAGCCTATTTAAGGCTTCTGACACTTTTAATGTTTTTCAAGTTTTGATAAAGATGGCTGACAGTCATAGAAACTGTCAGCATCATTAAGACGTTAAGACTGGCTATGTTTTAAGAACATTTAAATCGACTTAGTGACGTAAGTACTTCGAGTCAAAAGAATTTATACCCTTCGGTCAAATTAATTTCAAATACATTGAATAGGATCGTCTTAATGAAGACGTCGTCCTTATGTGAGGCCAGGAGAGATTCTAAGGTCCCTTTTTTGCGTTTTGTGATGGCCAGTATTTCTTGTAGTTTGTTCTTAAAGTTGTCTTGACTACCTTATTTAGGGTTCGTGTAACGTTGAATTCTGTGCTTCTTTCATAGGTGTTTCGAGGAAATTATGATATCTATCATACGGTTTCGTTAAAGATTATTCCACCAATAAGAGCACGGTTTTTGCGCATTCATCCCAAGTCTTGGCGCAGCTACATCGCCATGCGGGTTGAACTGTATGGATGTCGATATCGAGGTAAATTCGAAGGCCTGTTACAATTAGTGTACATGTTGCTCGAAGCGTGGTAGTGAGCTTTTTTTGCATTGCATTTGTAAGCTAAAGGGGTGTCTTTGATGTCAAGTTGTCTCCCGAGACAAGTAACCTTTCCTCACTTGCGCCCTCCATCCCGACGTTTAGCAAATTGTTATAATGGCGACCTATTGCTGGGGTAAATCAGCAATATCTGTATCACATAGCATCTCATTCATGGACAAGAAAAGGCACTATTTGTTATTTTACTTTTCAGAGACCAGGTCAAGCTCTCTTGAAAGACTATGCTTTCAATGGCGGAGGTTGTTACTATTGCTGAAATTGTTTTTCTTGTTTGCAGGGGAAAGGTTTATATATCGGTTTTGTATCTTTCCGTGACCAACGATACCAACACAAGAGCAGTGATTGAACTCTGCAAGGCTAATTTATTTGTGTTCGTTTCCTCCTTTAATCAGAGCGATTCTTTGATCAAGCCGTGGGAATTCAAACAGGAAAGATAAAGAACGCTGCCTTTACCGCTTCATCGCAATGGGACAAATTCCACGCTCCTTTCCGTGCTCGACTGCACATTCGGAAACAGGGTCGCTACATTGGCGCGTGGGCTTCCCGCCCAAATAACCACAACCAGTGGCTGATGGTCGACCTGGGAATTCCCACTGAGGTCACGGGCATAGCGACTCAAGGAAGGCAGGATGCTGCCCAGTGGGTGACAGCGTTTTGGGTTTATTACAGTTTGGATGGAATGCACTTTTCAAGGGTCACGTATTGGTGGGACTATATAAGGGTGAGTGTTTTAGATCTTTTCAAACACTGAGATTAAACGTGTCACCCATTGACACCAAGATGCACGTGTCAGCGTTCTGGGTTTATTACAGTCTGGGTGGTATGCACTTTTCAAGGGTCACGTATTGGTGGGACTATATAAGGGTGAGTGTTTTAGGTCTTTTCAAACACTGAGATAGAACGTGTCACCCAGTGACACCAAGATGCACGTGTCAGCGTTTTCGGCTTTTTACTGTTTGGGTAGAATGCACTTCACTGACATTTTATTTGCCACACAGTAACGACAAGCTGCTCGTGACAGTGTCTTGGGTCTATTGCAGTTTGGATGGAGTATACCTTTCTGGGGTCGTATATGTCAGGGTGAAGTTTTAAGGTCTTTCGTGCAAGAAGAATCTAGGTTGCGCACAAGCGTTGCATATCGAAGTGCGTTACTCCTCTCTAAAAGCTGACTCAACTCCGGCGGTATGCCGATTATGGATGAATGTTCATGGTTTATTTTGTAACTACAGGAAGAAAACCTTTTTGAGGGCGTGCTGTTTTAACCAACTGCTAGTTTACTGATTTTTTTCTTTGATATCGTTATATCTCAGACTTTTAGAGGAAACGTCGACCAGAATGGCCTTCGAACGCATTCCTTTAATCCACCACTGTACGCACGATTAATAAAAATCAACCCCCGTGGCTGGCGTTCTCATATCTCGATGAGACTTGAGCTGTATGGTGGCGCATATAGTAAGTGCAAATGGTCCGGATATCTCTATCTTTATTGGCAGTAATAACGACACTAGAACGTTACCTAATCGTGCCAACAGATGTATAGATATCTGAACAAACAAATGCCTTATTTCTCAGTTCCATTGTTAAACAACTGTTTTGATGCGGCCTTTTCATCAAGAATCATTGTTGTTCCTGTCGAAACCCTTTTTAATGAATCTATTGCTGGGCTGGATTGCTTATGTCTCATGTGTTCACTTTCTTTTTCCCTTTGCAGGCAAATGCGATGTTCCTATTGGTTTGGAAGACCGTCGTGTACCTGACCAACTGATAACTGCTTCCTCATTCTACAACTATTACTGCGCGCCACGGAACGCCAGGCTCCGTCAGAGACGCGTTGGGCGGCTTGGAGGGGCGTGGTGTGCTAAACGAAGTGACAGGCGTCAGTGGCTTAAGATTGATTTGGGAGGGCTTACTCGAGTGTCACGCATTGCTTCTCAAGGTCGGCAAAATTCTGACCAGTGGGTGACTAGTTACTATGTGTCGTACAGCACCAAGGGATACCGTTTTATTACCTATAAAGAGAACAGAAGGACAAAGGTGAGTGAGAGATGATCTCGCTAACTTTCCACAAGCCATGTCTATAACGTCTCAACAGTCATGAAGCCAATAAAACGCTTCGTAAGATGTCGACGCGGTTTTACGCGGCGGAATAGCTTGCACGCGAATTAACTTGCGTTCCCGTCGTGTTGATGAGGTGGTGGTAACCTTTTGAGATTTTAACACTGCGTTAACAAACTAAGTCAAAATATTTGGGATGTAAAGTAATCTAGCTCTTAATATCTGAAGACAGATAATGTGCGCTTTTTACTTCAAAACGTTCATTCTGTAAGCGATATTTGAACATTGTTAATAGGAAAGTTAACTTATTAAGAGGCTGTCTCAGTAAAAACCGCCCACTCAATTTCGCGTGAAAAATAATTTTGCCTGAAACTCTGGCGAGTGAAAGGCTTTATCGAGACTATAACTAAAATAGGTTTGCTTTGATTCACAATAATTTTCTGGCCGCGCTGGGAGGCGCCGAGTATTTTGTCCCGCCGCGGCCATTTTGCACGTCTTGAAAACTGGAAATTTGGCATTTTTTGCGGCGCTGTAAAATGTTTGATTTGCACCATCTACCAATGAATTTTATACCTATTTATAGGTAAACATCTCTAGTTTTTCCTGAGAGAAATAGTTATCCGCTAAATTTAGCTGGAAAGACGAAATCAAGCAAAATATGACCCCAACTAATTGCCTTGGAGCGAAAGGCCAAAAATGACCCTGTTTTAAAAGCTTATTTCTGACTTTTGGGACATAGTTGAAAGCTCTAGACTAAATAGACGCAAAGATAGACCACCTGTTATTAATAATATACAAAACCCCATGTACGTTTTCAGTATATTAAAAGTTATGACCGTTTGTATCAACGCGTATGCGAGCTAATACGATATTTTCAGATTTAGCATAACGGATCTATCTCAAGCAGATTTTGTCAAAAGTACGGCTTACCTGATTCATTACTGGCACTGACTCACAAATTGAGACATATTCCAATCCCTGAGATGCCGGACTCCATAAAATTCCAGTAAGCTGTGCTTTAGAAACTGCTGATATGCGGCCATTTTTGAATCCCAAGCTAACAATCCGAAGGTCAAAACAAGTGAAACTGTGTCACGTTTCGAGCTAAACAGCTCGGTAAAACAACCGTTCAGAGGTGAACGTTTGCTGAAGAATCAGAAAATCAACTGGGAAGGTCTCATTTTGCATCAGAAAATTGAGATTTCAGAGCTACAACCTCGAATAAACCTTCTATTCAATCGGCTCCGCAAGGTCAAATGCAGGTTGACACGTAAACCGGAAATGTTGAAACGCGGAAATACGGAAAACCGGAAATACGGAAATCCGGATCATCCGGAAATCGGCAAATCTGAAATCAATCAGGAGCCGAAGGCAATCCCAAAAATTAGAGGCAGCTGCATTCGTTTAGGGCTTCTTTTTGACGTTGAGACACGTAAAAGATAAAACCTCCCAAACGGGCGTAGCTATTTGATTTTCACTGAACTGAAACGTAGTTCCACGATCGATTGCGTTTGGCAAATAGGCTGCAAACATTCTATGTGCGCTAACATATCACACTTGTCACTAATACTTTACAGAAGTTGGCTATATATCGAAACTGAGTGTGTCGAGGTCTAGGAAACCAAGCCAGCTTGGTTGTCTGGGCTCATTAGTATAGAGGGTCCTTGAAAATCGCTTGTTAAGGGGGCATTCTGGTTGTTTTTTCGGGGGAAATGATGGTGATTTGGGAAAGAAATAAATAAGAGTAGAAATGGCATGCACATAAAGCAGTTATTCAATTAATGGGATTAGAGGCACTCCTTGTTGGAGTCTCCGGTATTAATTTTTCTTCTGATTATTCACTTCATATTTTAATTTCTAACAACCCCCAAATCAAGAGAGAATGATCCAAATCCAATATTTTCCAACTTTTCCAACATTTTTAACATCCTCCCTAATTTTTATACATTAAAAAGATTCGAAGAATCATCCAGAAATTCTCAAAAAAATATTGAACCAAGGACTCCATCTTAATTGAGTCATTTTTTGATTCACGGATAACTTGGACAGCGGATAACGCGAGGAGAGCAGAGGAAAGTCATTTGGATTATAGGGTATGGTTGCAAGAAACTCCCATGATTTAATCTAGAGTAGCTTTAAGAAAGGAATTAATTCTGTACCGTGTTTAGACCTTAAGACCAATATTTACACCGAATGGTGACACTAGTGGCAAGTCGATGCGACTTTGTTTTAGGATTAGCTACAAAATACCATTAAATGGTCGAAAAAATAATCCTACATTTGTCGATAAATTTGGGTTTTCTGACCCAAAACGAAATCTGCGTAGCTGATGTTTTGATTCTCGGACAAGTCTCACCTCCGGACATTTCTCTTATTTTCTTTCTTACCCAGCTATTTATCTCTAAACGTGACATTCCGTAAAATTCCGAAAATAAGCCCCGGGTCTTATATTTTTCAAAGGCCCTTTTTGAGGGGCTTATTTTTGGACGGGCTTATATTCGGAGGGGCTTATGTACGGAGGGAAATTTGAGTTTCAAAATCGATTGGGCTAGCATATAGTTGGAAGGAAATTAACCGTTTTTGCTTTGCTTTACTTTGTATTTGAGGGCAATTTTCCAAGTACAAGTCCCCGGGGGGCTTATTTTCTGAGGGGCGATTTCACGGAGGGTTTTTTGTGTTACGAGTTTAGGGGTCTTATACATGGAAGGGCTTATTTTCGGAATTTTACGGTAGTTTCAGCATGGAATTCAAATATGGCCGCATACCAGCAGTTTCAAAAGCGCATTTACTAGAATTTTGAATCAAATATCGGTCAATTTTTTAGTAAGTGCCAGTAATGAATTAGGTAAAGTTTGGGAGGAGACGGAGGAGGAAAATCCAGTTCCTGTTGTAAAAATAGTCAAAGGGACGGGAGAAGATTCAGGAAGAGGATCAGTACACTGTGAAGAAGGCTTTCTCCCATTCACTCAAGCCTTCCCTAACCCCCTCTAGGTAATGATCGGTTTCTTAAAAACTTACTCACCAGCCGGGACTATTTATCCGCTCTTACAAGCGATTTTCAAGGGCCTGTATACTAATAAGCCCAGACAACCGAGCTGGCTCGGTTTCCTAGATCTCGACACATTCAGTTTCGATATATAGCCAACTTCTGTAAAGTATTAGTCACAAGTGTGATATGTTAGCGCACATAGAATGTTTGTAACCCGTTAATGATATTTACTGTTTCATATGGAGCCTATTTGCCAAAACGCAATCGATGGTGGAACTGCGTTTCAGTTCAGTGAAAATCAAACAGCTACGCCCGTTTGGGAGGTTTTATCTTTTACGTGTCTCAACGTCGAAAAGGAGCCCTAAACGAATGCATCTGTCTCTAATTTTTGGGATTACCCTCGGCTCCTGATTGATTTCAGATTTGCCGATTTCCGGATGATCCGGATTTCCGTATTTCCGGTTTTCCGTATTTCCGCGTTTCAACATTTCCGGTTTACGTGTCAACCTGCATTTGACCTTGCGGAGCCGATTGAATAGAAGGTTTATTCGAGGTTGTAGCTCTGAAATCTCAATTTTCTGATCCAAAATGAGACCTTCCCAGTTGATTTTCTGATTCTCGAGCAAACGTTCACCTCTGAAAGGTTGTTTTACCGAGCTATTTAGCTCGAAACGTGACACAGTTTCACCTGTTTTGATCTTCGAATTGATAGCTTGGGATTCAAAAATGGCCGCATACCAGCAGTTTCTAAAGCACAGCTTACTGGAATTTTATGGAGTCCGGCATCTCAGGGATTGGAATATGTCTCAATTTGTGAGTCAGTGCCAGTAATGAATCAGGTAAGCCGTACTTTTGACAAAATCTGCTTGAGATAGATCCGTTATGCTAAATCTGAAAATATCGTATTAGCTCGCATACGCGTTGATACAAACGGTAATAACTTTTAAAATACTAAAAACGTACATGAGGTTTTGTATATTATTAATAACAGGTGGTCTATCTTTGCGTCTATTTAGTCTAGAGCTTTCAACTATGTCCCAAAAGTCAGAAATAAGCTTTTAAAACAGGGTCATTTTTGGCCTTTCGCTCCAAGGCAATTAGTTGGGGTCATATTTTGCTTGATTTCGTCTTTCCAGCTAAATTTAGCGGATAACATTTACTTTCAGGAAAAACTAGAGATGTTTACCTATAAATAGGTATAAAATTCATTGGTAGATGGTGCAAATCAAACATTTTACAGCGCCGCAAAAAATGCCAAATTTTCAGTTTTCAAGACGTGCAAAATGGCCGTGGTGGGACAAAATACTCGGCGCCCCCCAGCGCGGCCAGAAAATTATTGTGAATCAAAGCAAACCTATTTTAGTTATAGTCTCGATAAAGCCTTTCACTCGCCAGAGTTTCAGGCAAAATTATTTTTCACGCGAAATTGAGTGGGCGGTTTTTACTGAGACAGCCTCTTAAGATTTTTTAGCAAAATGGTCTTTCAACAAATATTTTACCTGGCAATGTTTTATTCATGTTTTCTTAGATTTTCCAAGGAAACTTTGACCGCTACATTGTGGTTCAGCACCGGTTTATCCGACCGTTAACCGGTCGTTGCTTCAAGGTGCATCCAGTCACGTGGCGTAGTTGGATTTCCATGCGAGTTGAGCTCTATGGTTGCGTCATTGGTGAGTAATTTAGATTAATATTTTAATCAATTTAACTTTCGGAATTAATGTTGTATGCGTAGAGATAATCGGCGATAAGGTACCTTTAGTAGGAAATCAAACCAAACTTTTGTACGGGTGAATGTAGTGGCATAACCAGTTATTCATGAAGTAAGGTATATAGCTTACATAACAGACCGAATCAGTATTGACAAGGAAAAGACTGAGATAATAGGTTAAAGAGTCATCAGCATTTAAGTGTAGTTACTCACCTATACTCTAATGAGATTATGATTGAGAGACTCCAGGTTATGACCGTTATGTATTTCTGTACCCTTGTTTAAAAGCTTCCTATCCAAAAAAGGGGTCAACGCAGTTCCTGTTTTACTACTCGCCTAATAGTATTTTTTTTGTTTGTTTAAACTGTGCTTTTCTTGAAATATTGAAACCTTGGTAATAAGTCTTGTTTCGCCTTACCCTTTCTAGGTCCAAGGTGCGACAGGCCGCTAGGAATGAAAAACGGCCGTATTCGCTCCAATCAAATAACCGCCTCATCCAGCTGGGATCGTAATCACGGACCGGGTAACGCGAGGCTGCATTGGCGCAAGAGTCGCGCTCGAGTGGGGGCTTGGTCCACGCGTCATAATAACCATTACCAGTTTTTACAAGTATATTTTAAACGTCCCACGCGTGTGGTGAAGATCGCCACACAAGGGAGACAAGATGCGCGTCAGTGGGTCACGAAGTACTTCGTGGCTTACAGTCAAGACGGTGCAAATTTTGCCGAGTATAAAGAAAATAGTAATCGAAAGGTTCGTTGGGTGGCTTGTATGATTTTGCACTTAGTTTTAATTATTGCGAGCACTGAAGAGGCTGACTTTAACCATTTGGATCAATTCTGAAATGCATGCTTATTTTTTACACTAGAAGTTAATGTGCGATCAACTTAAATATATTTTCCGTCTTCCCTGATTTGCTTAACCCTTTCACTGGCAGAGTGTTTGACAGAGTTTTGTAAGGTGACTGTAACTTTTGAGTCTGTGGACGAAATCCTATGATGTGAGCATTCAAATGAAAGCTCTGTGCCTGTACTTACACATGATCCTATTTGTTTGTCAAAATTTTAGAAAATAAAAATTGGAAATTTGGTCGAGATTTGCCTTTGGCCACATTTGGCAGTGAAAGGGTTAAATCGTAAAACGACCTGCACCTTTGGAATTGATTACACAATTGCTGTCTAATCATTAAACGTAACCTACTTTATTTTCGTTGTCTTTTCAGTATATCACTGGGAACAGGGACCAAAACACAGTCGTGCAATACAGATTCTTTCCACCAATCAAAGCGAGGTTTATTCAGATTCGCCCATGGGGTTGGTACCGACACATCTCCATGAGAGTGGAATTCTACGGATGCGCTGAAGGTAGAAATGGTTTTGTTATGTATGGATCATTTTGTCGCAGGACGCGTTTTGGACGCGTTTAAAACGCATTTTGATGTCCGTTTATGACCCTCTTGATACACAGTTGAGTCGTTTCTAGTTGGCTTCTAGTTGTCGCATTTTTTAGTCCTTTAGTGCACGTCTGAGTCATTTTCGAGTCATCTTGAGCGCGTTCGAGTTGCAAGAGCACACCCCGGCTCCACAGGCTGTGGAGTGGTTCAAGAACGACGTTGGTCTCGTTTGGAACGCTTTTACAGCGCGTTCCAGGTCCTCATGTGCAGCTTTTTCATTGTACTTTTAGCTCAGCGCGTGTGAGATACGTTTTGGGTGCATTTGAGGCATAGGACTTAAAGAGCTTATTTGAATGGATTATTCATTCTTCTCATTACAGACCGTTGTAACATGCCTCTTGGCTTAGAAGACAAGCGACTCACACCAGGCGATATATCAGCCTCAAGTTACTACAATGCCTACCTTGCACCGTGGTATGGCCGTTTAAACCACATCTACTCTTGGAGTGTGCGCACTAGAAACAGCAAGCAGTGGATGAAGGTTAACTTTGGTGACGTAATGCGTTTTAAAGGAATAGCGACCCAAGGAAGATCAAATGCCAATCAATGGGTGATGAGTTATGTTGTGACGTATAGTGGAGATGACGTCACTTACGTTCCTTATAAGGAAAGAAGACGCGTAAAGGTGAGAGATATGCTGTTTTTAGTTTCAAAACCCTCTCTTCTCCACTCATAGTATTATATGTATGTAACCATCGAAACCTGTGAAAAATGTTTGTGTTTTACCCTTTATTTACAGGCGTTCTATTTAGAATTCAACGAACTAACCCTGAAAGATCATAGAACATGAATCCACTTACGTTTTCACGAATGCTTTTACCCTTAAATTTGGTTACACTCTGAAATAGCTAATGCGTATTATTTATTTTATTTTTTGGTAGATTTTTTCAGGCAATAGTGACAGAAATTCTGTAGTATATCATCGTTTTTTNCACTAGAAACAGCAAGCAGTGGATGAAGGTTAACTTTGGTGACGTAATGCGTTTTAAAGGAATAGCGACCCAAGGAAGATCAAATGCCAATCAATGGGTGATGAGTTATGTTGTGACGTATAGTGGAGATGACGTCACTTACGTTCCTTATAAGGAAAGAAGACGCGTAAAGGTGAGAGATATGCTGTTTTTAGTTTCAAAACCCTCTCTTCTCCACTCATAGTATTATATGTATGTAACCATCGAAACCTGTGAAAAATGTTTGTGTTTTACCCTTTATTTACAGGCGTTCTATTTAGAATTCAACGAACTAACCCTGAAAGATCATAGAACATGAATCCACTTACGTTTTCACGAATGCTTTTACCCTTAAATTTGGTTACACTCTGAAATAGCTAATGCGTATTATTTATTTTATTTTTTGGTAGATTTTTTCAGGCAATAGTGACAGAAATTCTGTAGTATATCATCGTTTTTTGAGATCGTTCAGTGCCGCTTACGTGAAGATTCATCCACGGACATGGTACGGCTGGATTTCAATGAGAGTCGAGCTCTATGGCTGTGCAAGTAAGTTATCCATTTTGTTTCTGACAGTTAATGATGGAAAACTGTAAATTAAGAAGACTTCTTACCTCAAATCAAGAGATTTAATCTTCGGAGGTTCGGAGAGAAGCTGTATCAACAACTCATGCAAAGCAGTGTTATTCCTAGAAACCTCAAGGTCGGTTTAGGAAAGTGGTTGTGTCTCTTTTTCGAATCTTTATGTCACTGTCTGCATTTCAAATGAAATAGTCCCTTTTACAAATAAAATATAACTTAAACGTGACTTTGTTAAAATTCTGATTTAAGAATAGGGATGGTATTCCCTAGGACTTCAACCTTCCACGCCTCAAACCAGTTATGTCTCAAAACTCTCACGGGAAAGGATTAAAGAATTTACTTTACAAGTGACCATCTTAAGCCGTTAACAAGTGGTACAAGTTGTAGTCATAGTGATGTAGGAGGTTTAATCTTAAGGTCTCTTAAGGTGCTTTCAAGGGTATTGGGTCTTAAGTTTCAATTATGATGATGCTTATTTTCTTTTTAAGGACCCCTCTGTAACACTGCCTTGGGCTTACAAAGCGGTCGCCTGCGAAACAACAAGATCAGTGCTTCATCCGAGTACAATGTCTACCATGGGGCGAGACTCGGGAGGCTTGGACGAAAGAAACGAGGGAGATATGTAGGGGCCTGGTGCACTAGAGCCAATAACAGGAACCAGTGGCTCAAGGTGGACTTCAGTCGACCAATGAAAATCACAAAAATTTTGACACAGGGAAGGCAAGACGCTGCCCAGTGGGTGACTTATTATAAAGTGTCTTCAAGTTTAGATGGGGTACACTGGCAAGTATATCGATTCAAAAACAGCGACAAGGTAATTGCTTGGAAAAGTTGGGTATTGTTCATCTTGGCTAAGTACGTTAATAAAGTAGATAGATTAAATAGATAGTAGATGATTAAATTACAAAAAAAATTAATAAAGTAGATTATCGTTCGTCTTTCAATGTCGTCAGTTGAGTTATAATTCGCGACACTTTTATTGCATACTGCTATTCTTCAGTATGAGGTCGACTTCAACTGAGCGCGTGTCGCCTTATTAAGTGTAGAGGTCTGCTGTGACTAGTGGAAATTGATTGGAGGAGAAGGCGTTTCCTCCAGATTCGATTTTCCACTTTGGTCTCCTATTGAGTTTCTTGATCGTGCACATCTACACCTTCGAAATCTTAACAAAACTTACCGAGTTCTATACTGAAGATTACAATTTAAAAAAAAGAAAAGAACTTTTATATTTTTTTGTTATTATAGTAAGACCCTGTGTTTCATTTAAGTTTATAGAATCTATTATATTTTCATGGGGCATTTTTCTTGGCAGATTTTCCGTGGTAACAACGATCAAAACAGCATCAAAATACAAGCCCTTACTCCTCCAGTGTACGGGCGCTTCATCCGCATTCACCCGTGGAGTTGGTACAGGCACATTTCAATGAGAGTGGAATTTTACGGATGCAAAACCGGTCAGTTGGAAGACCTTATTCTACGCATTTTTTTGTAATGTTCCTCACATGATATTCCAATGCCGTATAAGTTATCAACAATGTGCCTTTTAGCAGCTCTATAGCCTCCCACGTTGACGCTCATTTATTGTCTCGTTACGCAATCCTCCCCAACGAGCGTGAAGGCAGCGTGGCCGAGCTGTTTGAGCGCTGGACTTGCAATTCGGAGGTCCCGAGTTCAAGTCCCGCCCTGACCGTTAGCTGGATTTGTTCACGGTATTCCCGAGTTCCAATCCTCTACCACTCTTGTAAATAGCCAGCTGGTTCGCCTCCGGCCTGCTGGGATTCTTAACCCGTTTATGTTACATATGAAATAAGTTGAGTGCCAGTTACTTGTCACTTGTTCATTCCTTTCAACATCTTCAAGCCTTGCACTATGAGTGAAAGATAGGACCAACTGTATAATTTTTGGTATTATCTTTTTGCCTAGATCCCTGCGATATTCCGTTGGGAATGCAAGATGGCCGAATTACCCCATCGATGCTTACTGCCTCCTCCATGTACAATCATTATTATGGTCCCTGGAATGCCAGACTTCATGCACGAAACTACGGTTCCACGAGGGGAGGATGGATAGCTAAATACCGGAATAGGAATCAATGGCTTCAGATTGACTTTGGGACCAAGTCACGCGTGAAAAGAATCTGTACTCAAGGACGCTACGATGCTAATCAGTTTGTGAAATCCTATACTGTGTCGTTCAGTGTAAAGGGAGACAAGTTTGTTCCATATAAGGAGGGGAGGAGAACGAGGGTATGTAGATTAAGAAGTTATAAGAAGTTGTGAAAGTGTACTGCAGTAATACCATACCCCTCCCGAGTATCTTCTTCCTGTTAAAAGAAAAAAAAAACATGGGTGAATCGTGTACATAACAACTTCCTGTCTAATCAGAGCTTTAGTATTTAATAAATCGTGGCTGAGATTCCTAGGCAAAACTATCCAAACCTTAAGATTGAAATAATCACCAGATCTACGGGAAAAGTTTTGAAGCCGTTCAGTAAACACGCACTTTGTTTTTGTAACAACTGAAAATTTCTAGGTTTACTTTTAATTTGATTCTTCAGTGTAAGTTTTAAGTTTATTTCTTGGAGATTAATTCCGTGAAAGACAATTTTGAGATTTCTTCCGACTCTCTCAATGACATACTATTTTAATGCTTTAATTCAAATTTAGTTGTTTCAGGCTAATATCGAGAGATACTATGTGGTCTGCCATCGCTTCTTTAGACCGTTCATTGCTCGCTACGTGCGCATAAATGTTAGGAGTTGGTATAGCTACATATCCATGAGGGTCGAACTGTTCGGCTGCAGACTGGGTAAGAGGCAACTTTCTTTACATTTTAGCTTAAACACTTATAGGCGTGTTATTCTAGGTTGTGTCATCGCGTTTTTCATTTAGGCAAGGTTTCTTCATTATCGTCTTGATTGTCATGGTAGGTCCAATTGTCGTACACGGTTTTTTAACGATGGAGATCACCCAGGCAACTTTGTGTATTCTATATTATCGCCTCGAACGTCCAGACAGTCCTCAGGCCTACCTAGGCAACTGACATCGCCCCAATTGTCCGGATCGATTCGGTTGGAAAGAGAGGTGTTTTCATATAACATTCTCGATCACGATCGCCGGTCAGGTGATCCAATCGTTCACTTTTCATGAGCTGTTCATGGAGTATTGATGTTTCCCATACAGGTAAACAGTGCAACCAGCCAATGGGATTACAGAATGGCCGTCTCAGGAACACTCAAATGACAGGGTCTTCTCAATGGAACAAATACCACGCGCCCTTCCTGGGGCGGCTCCATCGCACACGCCACGGGAAGTACGTTGGAGCCTGGTGCGCGCGAAGCAACAACCGGTATCAGTACCTACAGGTCGACTTTAAAAGACCAGTCAAGATAATCAAGTTATCAACCCAGGGAAGGCAAGATGTCAGTCAGTGGGTCACGCAGTATTACATTAAACACAGCGTTAACGCCATCAATTTCGTCGAGTACAAAGAACGTAATAGTAGAAAGTATTTCACTGGAAACCGAGATCGTAACACCGTGGTGACAAATCCATTCAATCCTGCCATTCGCGGTCGATACATCCGAGTTTGTCCTTGGGGATGGTATAGGCACATTTCCATGCGTGTGGAGTTCTACGGCTGCTTTACGGGTGAGGATTTTGCAGATCGTACATTTAACAAATCGACCATACAAATGACGTCAACATGTTCAAAACTCAAGTGGAACCAAGAGCCACAGGCGAGTGGTCTCACTGCAAAGTTTTAACATTTTGACGTCATTTCAATTGTCGATAAGGGTACAGACCATGGATAGTTGTTGTCGATTATTTGACCTTGACGGTTTTGAAGTTGTAGTTTTTCGGAAAAACGCGCGCGCGAGAAAAAGAAATACAAAATTGCACGATCATGACGTCATTGTCATCGTCTGTACTCATATCTACCATAGCTCTCTAACCTCGTTACGGGGTTAATAGCTGTCGACCACTGATCAGCGTGCGAGAAATCACTCCGTTATTGAAAAATATGTGATAGCTTGCTCATTTTGTTCTCCGTATTATATGTTTTTAAAGTTTAGTTGTTATGGTTAGCTGGTTAGAGTTAGCTCATAGCTTGTAAGAAATTTTCTTTTTAGTTTCCACCCTTTTTTTCTCGAAATTTGCGACCACCATATTGTTTTAGTTCTTCATTATGACTCTTTGTCGTCTTTGATTTACCCCAGATCGTTGCAGCTTGCCCCTCGGTATGGAAGACCGACGAATACTATCGGGAAATCTTCGGGCGTCGTCTTCGTACAACTACAATCACGGACCCGACCGAGCGCGTCTGAACATCTACGCCAGTCACGGGCGAACAGGAGCCTGGGTAGCGAAATATCGCAACACGAAGCAGTGGCTACAAATTGACTTGGGGCAGATGTGTATCGTTAAAGGTATTGCTACACAGGGACGCCGAAAAGGTCATTTGGAGTGGGTGAAAAGCTATGTGCTCTCCTACAGTAAAGACGGACTACGCTTTAGGGCTTATTCAGTGGGTGGACGACTCAAGGTGTGTTTTAAACAGTTTATTCGACTATGTGCGTTCTATAGTGATTTCATTTGTAATTGGCTTAAAACGTTTGTGTTACTCTTCTGACCAGAGAGAAGAAGAGTAAAAAAACGGCCTTTGCTCCTTGCTCTGCTTGCAGCTTCCTTTTCCTACTTTGGTACAGGCCTCTTGTTTTTCTTAAAGTTTGTTTTGGATTCTACCACTGTTTCAAAGTAGTAGCCGTGGTTTAACAAAACAAGTCTCTGATGGTCATTTTTTCCTATTGTTTAGAAAAGGAGAGAAATACGTGTGGTCTTCGAGGCGCTGAACAAGAATAGTCATACTTAACTAGATTTGTATGTCGAAAACAAAAAACACAAAATTCAGTCAAGGCGCGAACAGCAGTCCTTCATTTGCAATCATTTGATGATATTACACCACAACAAACAAGGTGATATAATAAGAATAAGATCTTTGGAATTCATATCTTTTTTTGACCTTGTAGAGATTCCGCGGGAATTACGATGTTTATCACACTGTTGCTCAGAGGATATCACCAAACTTAAGGGCACGGTACGTAAGAATCCACCCAAAGACCTGGAGGTCGCGTATCGCTATGAGAATCGAGCTGTATGGGTGCCGGTATAAAGGTAAGAAGGACATGGCTACCCGCGTTTTTCCTCCGTAATGCGCCTACATCAGAGACCGTACGAAACTACGACGGCGACGGCAATGGGAACGTCAAAAAAAGCAATAGATTTAATGAGCAAAAAAAAACAGCTCTGTACGTGCATCACACCTTTTTGCGACTTTCTTTGCTGTCCCTGTACAACTACCACGTGGAATGACCAGATATTAAGTTTTGATGAGAACGGCAACGGCAAAGCGATAAATTCTACCATCTCTGTCTGAACTCGCGCGCGGTCCTCTCTCTTCAGCTCCGACCAAAATTCCCTTATTTTAAGTAACAGGACGACTTGGGATAATCGCGAAAAGGAAGTTTGAAAGGATGCGAAGTCTATTTTTCCTCGCGTTTTCATGGACGTCACCGTTGCTGGATCGTAAGGTCCCTAATGGTGGTGCTATACAAACAGTGTTTGCAATAACTGTGATATTTTAAAACTGCGTCTTAAGTAAAGCGCTAAAATGTTACTTTTCCAAAATGTTACAGAACGACTGTGTGACAGAGCCCTTGGTATGCAAAGTGGCAGAATCCGAAACCGTGCCATCAAAGCTTCGTCACAATGGGACAACAACCATGCCGCCTACCTGGGCAGATTAAAGCGTTTGCGTCGTGGAAAGCTTATGGGGGCGTGGTCTGCCCGCCATAACAACTATAACCAGTGGATCCAAGTTGACCTTAGAAAGTCAATGAAAGTAACTGGTGTGGCCACTCAGGGTAGAGAGGAAACAAGCCAGTGGGTTACAGCATTCTATGTGCTGTACAGTTCGGATGGAGTCAAGTTTGCTAAGGTTAAAGATTGGTGGGATGTTACAAAGGTGAGCATCGTAAAAGGAATCGTTTTTTTTTAAGAGATAGCGCGAGTGAACAAGCCGAAAAAGAGGTGCTTATCGGTTCCTTAGTTCTGCTGGTAAACATTAGTGTTAAACGTGTGTTCTCTTGTGAAAATTTTTTTCTCCAAATTTCCTTCACAGTGATCTGAGCAAATTTGTTCTAAATTCAGTTTTATAATCTTAACGACAACATATTTACAGTACCACAACGTAGTGAAAATAAAGGTACGCAATAGGTAAGCATATCCACCGACTTATAGTGCTCAGCATTAGCCATTTTCATATAATACGGATAATAAGGTTTACCATACGGCACTTATGCTATCTTTTTTCAGTCTTACCATCCACATAGGTACATATAAACCCTCTTGGATGTTTTTTTGTTTCAATTTCTGACTTTTTCTAATCAAGCCACTTTGTTGTAGACTTTCCCAGCCAACGTGGATAGGTATTCTGTGCGTAATAATCCTTTACCGTATCCAATATACGGACGGTTTGTTCGTTTGCAAGTGCGTGGCTGGAGATCGCATATTTCAATGAGGCTGGAACTTTACGGATGCCCTTGGAGTAAGTTTTATAACTCGTTTCAGTAGAAGGTGTGGTATCGCTGTCGTGAGAAAACATGTAGTTACAAGTGTTGATGAGAGGAATCGGTTTGATGAGATTGGCAAGGGGTCAAACAATATAATACTGATGTAACGAACACACTAAAAACGTGCTTAACAATAAAAAAAGTGACGAAATGGATACCACCTTTTTAAATGATTTTCATTTGGAATTTTGGTACATAGATTTCACTCAGTCCCTCCTCCTAAATAAAGTCAAGTGCGTTTAACACAACCAGTGCCCAAAACAGTGCAGTTAGTAGCCCAGTTAGTATGAAGTATAACAGTAATTAATAAATAATGAAATTTGCTCTATTTTACTCATAGCAGCTCAAACCTGCTATAACATCAACCTTTTTCATTAGGTCGTTATGACGTTCCCCTTGGCATCGAAGACGGCCGTTTTCCAGATCAACTGATCACTGCTTCCTCATTCTACAACTACTACTGTGCGCCACGAAACGCTAGGTTGCGTCAGAGGCGCGTGGGACGGTACGGTGGAGCATGGTGCGCGCGGCGTAGTGTCAGAAACACGTGGCTCCAGTTTGACTTTGGAGGGCGTACTCGCGTTACACGCGTTTGCACGCAAGGCCGTCAAAATGCTGATCAATGGGTCACTAGTTATTATGTGAAGTACAGCAAAAGTGGTCAGCGGTTTATCCCATACAGAGAGGGACGTCGTACAAAGGTAGAGTGCAGTCGGTTTCGCTCCTTACTCGATTTGATCACCGGCGATTCTCAACCTTTTTACCAATCTATTGTAGTCCATTTTACTACTATTCCCGTGTTACTAAGGTTACTTTCAGTGTTAGTTATACTTCAAATTAAGCTGTAACATTTTCCGAGCATAATGATTTTGCTTTTTCGCTTTTTTTTAGATATTTGCTGGTAATTACGACCGATATATCGTAGTGTGCAATCGATTCATCAGACCGATATCGGGGCGATACTTCAGGATTTACCCGACCACTTGGCGTAGCTGGATTTCTATGAGAGTTGAGTTCTATGGCTGTGCTACTGGTATGTGTATGAGTCTTACAGCTGGTGTCTTGTAGAAGCACCAGACAGATTAAGCATCACATTAACCCTCTAATCACCAACCCCCCAGGATCCAGATTACAGACTGATCTCTATACATTCCTTAAAGAATTAGTTAAAGATCAAAAGAGTTTCCCTTTGGTGCAATTTATCAATTCTCATTACCTTTGATCTTGATTATGCAATGATAGCGGAGCGTCCGGGCGCGCGAAGCGCGTGCGGAGCGGAGCCCCATAGCTAAAGAATATTGGAAGCCTATGGATCCGAAAAAATTTGGTTATGACGTCAGCGTACGATCGAACGCCCATCGTCCGTACAGACTCTGAGGGCAGGGGTGAAAAAACTCAGTAGGGTAGGGGAAAAAAGAAAGAAAGAAAATTGATCTGTTCATTTTTGGGACTTAAAGGGTTAACGGAAAACGCCAAGACCTTTTTCAACTCATCATCTAGTTTAGTACTCTTTCATTAATACTGGTTTCTATATCCTTATTTCAAAGCAAACGTAGAAAACAAGCCTCAAATACTCGAGTTGAGGTCACTGAAAGGCCTTTGTCTCAGGGCCTATTATGGACGCCTGCTTACACATATTTTCCTGAGGGTTGTCGCTCCAGTTACAATTTGCCAAGGTGCATTAGCTCAAAAAGATAAATTAACTTACCACTTTTATGTTTTTTAACGCCCCAAAGCCTTTTGTCTCAGTTCTGTTTTTCATTAACCAGGTCCAAGGTGCAACAAGCCTCTGGGAATGCAAAGTGGCCGCATTCGACATACGCAGCTATCTGCCTCTTCAAGCTGGGACGTAAACCACGGTCCGCGTAACGGACGATTACATTTCCGCCGCACAGGTTCCAGGATGGGGGCATGGTGCGCTCGACACAATAATCGATACCAGTGGTATCAGGTGGACTTCGGTCGGGCCATGCGTATTGTCAAGATTGCCACAATGGGACGACAAGATTATGCTCAGTGGGTAACGCAATATTTTGTCACGTACAGTCAAGATGGCGCAAGCTTTGCTGAGTACAAGGAAAACAGTAACAGAAAGGTAAGAAGGTTTTTTAATTACGCCTTTAGCAAACCTTAACCAACTAGTAAAAGATTTTACTGCCGCAAAAAGATTGAGTGGTAGCCATCGTCAGAGCTAAAAAATACATCGACTGTTAATTTTCCACTTTCTGTAATAGAAAATAAAAGGAGAAAGTGCCCCGTGTGAGGATCGAACTCACGACCTTCAGATTTCTACTTTGGATTATGAGACTGACGCGCTGCCTACTGCGCTAACGAGGCACTGTTGTTATTTGAGCTGTTTTCTTGGGTTTTTTGCTATTTGCTATCTCTATTTTATAAACAGGCGCACTTTCTGTTGCAAAGCTGGAGCTTTCCTGTAACTCCACGCGCTCCCCTCATTGGCTACACCATAGTCACATAATATCTAACAATGAAGCTATTTCCCGCCAAAAGTTCCTGAGCGGACAATATCACAAAATCTATGACTTTAAAAGGTTATAGTACACTGTGCACCCGTGAATGTTTGCTGCCATTTTGTTTTTCATTTAAATATAATAATGCCTTTGTTGTGGTATTTAGCAGATCAGTGATTCGCGCCCCAGTTTCTTGGAAAAAATTAACTATATCTCTGCGGACCAGTTCTTAAGTGTGTTATCTTCTCCTACAGTATTTCAGTGGGAATCGAGATCAGAACAGTGTGGTGCAGTATCGCCTTTTCCCGCCAATAAGAGCTCGTTTTATACGCGTACATCCTTGGGGATGGTATAAGCACATATCAATGAGGATGGAGTTTTATGGATGTCCAGAAGGTGAGAGTGCGTAATTCAAATCGATCATCGCCAGTTTTTAATAACTGTACTATGCACTTATGGTGGCCACAGGTCAGGAGATTTTCAGGGAAAAAAAAATTCTTCAAGGTCAGAGAAAGTTCAGGGAATTTCACTTCGAGTCAGGGAAAATTTAAGTCTTGGAAAGAAGTCAGGGAAAAGTGAAATTTTAAGAGTACGTAATTATTTTTTCCCTCTACTTTTGTTGTTTTCTGACAGGTGAAATTCGTTTGTACATTTTACGGACATGGATCATGTTGTATTGGTAGAATATTGTTCATGAAACTGAACGACAAGCTGTGTTGGGTTTTCAAGAAAATCAGTCCTTTTTGCACATATTGTCAAGGAATTATCAATTCAAGTACACTGCACATGACTTAATGAAAGCAAAAATAAATGGGTGGAGAAGATGGCTGCGAGGGGAGGGTTGTGAAATTGTTAATTCAGTTGGTTAGAGAAATTTTCCATTTGTGAGGGTAAAGTCAGGGACATCGCTCCCTTAAACTGTTATATTTTATTTATTCACAATGTATTTAGTAGGAGACGCTTTAGAATCCTGCCGCAATCGACGCAATGTTGACTGTTAATTTTGTTAACACCCCTCTAAACATCCCCCTAAATAATAATAATAATAATAATAATAATAATAATAATAATAATAACAATAATAATAAAGCAGTAATGAGAAGTAAATATGGAGAAAATATGAATGGTCATTCTTCATCCTTGCCATCGCTGTTGATTCTAAACGATAAAATAGTGTTTTCGTTAGGTTTTATAAACTGACGAGCGTCGAAGATTATATTGTAATCTACTACTCTCCCCTTAAATGAAGTCTTCGTTTTATGTCAATAGACCCATGCAATGTACCACTTGGTATAGAAGACAAGAGAATTACAAACGGACAGCTATCTGCCTCGTCATATTACAATCATTACCTTGCACCCTGGCATGGACGATTGAATCACCGCTGGTCTTGGAGTGTACGGCATCGTAACAATAGGCAGTGGCTGCAGGTAAATTTCCAAGAAATTTACCGCTTCCGGGGTATTGCTACTCAAGGCCGACAGGACGCAAACCAATGGGTAAAGAGCTATGCTTTGTCGTATGGCTTAAATGGCGTGGACTTCGCACCGTATAAGGAAAGAGGAAGAGTTAAGGTATGGGAGCCAAACTTTTGAGGTATGCAATGAGATTTAGCTGGCGCATTCACAAAGCCAAATGGTAGAACTTTGGTTAGAAGGAAACTCTCATGATCCACAGGCACAAGTTCCAATACGTTTCATTAATAAAAGTAGGCGATAGAGCGCCCAATGCAAAGAAAACGCTGTGTTATGTATCCAGAAGAAGGTAAAATGCTTTCAATCACTCTGTATCGTGGATGAAGAAAAGAACTTGGCCATTATGTTAGAAAAGAAGTTTAGAATTTTCTAGTTACATTGCTTTACGTCACTGCCATATCTTGTGCGTCATTTGATGTCCTTGAGCCGTTGTTAATTCCTTCATACATATATGTAGTTGAAACTAGCAAACAAGAATAAACAAAACCGTCCTCTGGACTTCACAGCTGCCTGCGAACCCTTGCTTCCCTTCTTCAACAATCCTCTAGGCACGCACATTGTCCTTTGCACCAGGAAGTGTCTAATTACCAAACATTTCATTCATCTCTTTAGTTGTTTACAGCCAACACTGATCGCCACTCAGTAGTGTATCACCGCTTCATAAGACGAGTAGCTGCCGTGTTTGTAAGAGTTCATCCTAAGACGTGGTATGGTTGGATATCGATGAGAATTGAATTTTTTGGATGCTCAGGTAGGACTCCCTTGACCCGAAGGTTTTCCACTGGATATGTGTTTTACCTTTCTATTGGAAGAGAAATGCCGCATACAAGGATATGCATTTACATATGAATGTGTGGTCTTTCCTTATTAAAAAAAGAAGGCGACAAAAGTAAGTGCCCCGTGTGAGGTTCGAACTCACGACCTTCAGATTTCTACTTCAGGTTATGAGACTGACGCGCTGCCTACTGCGCTAACGAGGCACTTGCTGAGATATGTTATATTCTTTTTGTTAGCTACGAATTACCGTTGTTGAAAGTCCTTTTCAAACTAGTGCACTTTTTTGGCACACGTTTAGTGACATCATTGCTAAAAAGCTGAGGTGCTTGACCATAAAACTTGTTTAGAAAATCTTTGTTTTTTACAGTCAAAATTTTAAAACAGACTGTCTCGACTACACCTAACATTTCTTTTTCTCCTCAAAGCCGCGCTTTGTAACCGTGCCTTGGGCATGCGCAGTGGTGCTATCAAGAACGCGCAAATAACGGCTTCTTCAGCGTACAACAAGTTCCATGCGGCGAGTTTAGGAAGACTAGGACGAACGAAGCGCGGAAGGTACATTGGAGCCTGGTGCGCAAGGCACAACAATCACAACCAGTGGTTCAAGGTGGACTTTGGCCTTCCGATGAAGATCACTAAAATAGACACACAAGGGCGCCAGGATTACGGTCAATGGGTGACGAGATATCTTTTAAGCTCCAGTCAAGATGGAATTCATTGGAGCATGTACAGATACAAGAGCAATGATCAGGTAGCGTGCTACGGTGGGCTTTCTTAATTTACACGCTATTCTTCGCGTTCCACTGAAAAATTTCCGGAACTTGTGAAAACGTCGTCCTCCCTTCACGTTTCAAGGAAATATGTGTTCCACTTACGTGTTTTCAGGGTATTCGTATCTGTTTCGCCATATTGAATTTTGGCAAGAAAAGGGAGCGAATAGAACTTGTGTCAAATGGAACTTGTTCTCCACACGATGGGCATCTTTACAGAAATTTGCAGAATTTTTTGGCAAATTAAAAAAAAAGCGCTTCGTAGGTTTTACTAGAGTAAAAAAGGAAACAAACGGCATGTTTTAACTGGCTAGAACGTCCAAGGACTTTCACCGAGAGATAGTTCAAACCACTTTGTCTGAGCAGTTAAATCAAGCACTCGCAACAGTGTTTCCACATAATATTAAAGAATTCGACGTTTCTTAAAACTACTCCGATACGCACCTCGTTTTCAGCTTTCTGTTCGGTATTTTTTTTGTCATAAAACAGTCTGTATCGTTTTTGATGGCTAACGTGAAATAATACTGAGACGTTTTCTTCTTTCTTTTCCATGCAGTATTTTCCAGCAAACAGAGATCAGCACAGCAAAGTTTCAAACGTAATAAACCCGCCAATTATCGCCCGGTTTGTTCGTATCATCCCTCGAGGATGGTATCGCCATATTTGTATGAGGGTGGAGTTCTATGGGTGCAAAGCAGGTATGTTAAATTTTAAGCGTTTCAGAACAGTTTTACGCTTACTTAGCTGTCCCAAATGATACAAGCAAAGCTTGGAGGCGGTTGGTAAATAGTCAATTTTCGAGTTCGCTATGACCGCTGAATTAAAGAAGTGAAGACGCATTTTTTACAGCCTTAGCCTCCATCCGAAGTAATATATTCACAAATTCCAACGAGAAAAAGACCTGTTTATTACTCTGTCTATTGCGTATATTCAAATTTCAAACACTTACTTGCCAGAATTTCTGAAAATTTTACTTTACGTTGAGGCTAACCCTGTATAAATGTGTCGTTAATGTTTATATCAGCGGTAATTTTTAATTCGAAACTGGACTATTGGGGACGAGATATGCGTTAAGCTAATTCCACCCTCGAGCGTCCTTTTGGGAACAAGCGTGTTTTTTAATCACAAGTCTCATTTTGCCTCCCTTAGTGTCATGTTCCTTTGAAACGAGAGACCCAGAGTCATTTCATTTCCTAAAGTTCTGACAATTAGAACCAGAAAAGAAAGAAAAATAAATAAAGAAGTCCTTGTGTAATTTGTATAACAGTAGACTAGAGAGTTTTTGCAGCTAAAAAGAATACTTTTAGTCGCCCGATATGGGACTTGAACCCACGACCCTCAGATTAAAAGTCTGATGCTCTACCGACTGAGCTAACCGGGCAGCTCACGCACTTGTGGTCTTCTCTCTGAATATTAAATGGTTTAGCAGCGCCTTCGATATTCACGTGTATGTGATGTTCTAGTGGCTTTTCTATGTCTTTGGTCAAGGATTGAAAAATAGACCACTGCATCTGTTTATTTTGACTGTATGTAGACTTGTCCTAAACGTAATACGTTATCCCTTAAAACTATGTCTTTGCAAATACCGCTAACCTAGCTCTGCTAGTAGATAACAACAACAACAATAACAATTTGTTGTTGTTGTTTCGACTATCGTGATCATTATCCATTGTCCGTTTAATGTGGATACAAGAGTTCGTTTGAGGCAGTGCGTGATATTAATACTTAAAATAAACAGCAATCAACTTTTCACATCCTTGTTTGTCATTGCAGATAAGTGTGACGTACCACTCGGAATCCAAGATGGCCGCATCACGCAATCCATGCTCACAGCCTCTTCCATGTACAACCGCTACTACGGTCCTTGGTCAGCCAGACTACAAGCCAGAAATCACGGTGCAATGCGAGGTGGCTGGTTAGCCCGGGTGAACAACAATCGCCAGTGGCTGCAGATTGATCTGGGAGCTAAGTCCGTTGTAAAGAGGATTGCTACTCAAGGTCGGTATGATGCTAACCAGTGGGTGACGTCATACACTGTGTCCTACAGTAACAATGGCGTCAGGTTCTACCCTTACCGAGAGAACAGGAGAGTTAGGGTATGTTAATTACGAGTCTCTTTTTGTGTTGCTTATCGATACTGTCCAGTTCTGATTTTATTACGGCTGAATTTTTACACGAGTTACTCTCGATCAGGAGAAAGTGTTCACAAAATTCCAGATGTATTCACAAGATAGACTCTCAATTTTTACAATTAACCTCAGCCGGTCGTGTTCGCGAGTTTTTAGATTTGGATCGTTCGCGTTTCTATTAAGGCCATGGTTTGAAAGCCGAAACGGGATTAATGCCCAGCGCGATTCTTGTGGATAAAATTAAACATGGTAGCAAGCGTGTCGAGGAAAAGCCATCGCGCCTTTTGAAACCACAAGTGCATAGTATTTGGTTTAGCTTCCAATGTGTTACAGTCTTACTTCACCAATACTGACACTTACTCTCTTTTACCTCTGACAGATTTTCCCAGCAAATCAGGAAAGGTACTTTGTGGTCTTTCATCGCTTCTTTAAGCCGTTTGCAGCGCGTTTCGTTCGGGTTAAAGTCAGGAGCTGGTACGGGCATATTGCTTTGCGCGTGGAACTCTATGGATGTTCACTGGGTAAGTCTGAGTCTACTAAGAAAACACCGAGCTATTGGCTACTGACTTGGTTGTGTTAGGGCCTCTTTATAACCGTTCTTTTGCCCACAAAAGTGTTAATCCTGGTGGTCAGTCTCTGCGAAATCAATTATAAGCTTATGCTTTGTCTAGACATTTTGAGTCTTTTTTTTTTTTCAAGATAAAAAAATTATATTGAACTTAGAGGAAACCTCAGATTATTAGCTTGATAAAATCAAAAAACTGCAGGGAGATGAGAAGGACTTACGATGGCTTTGGATGCACGAGATTAACATTGATTACATTTATTGCACAGTTCAAAACTCTACGCTAAACTTTTGATCATGCAGCTACCCCGATGTAAGTCCTTTAAGGTGCTACCAACTGTGTTTCTAAAACCCCCTTTTTGGCTTCCCCTACCCCGTTCACTTTCCACCTGTTTCTGCATATGCACGTTTATACAGGTCGCCAGTGCAATCAACCAATGGGACTCCAATCTGGGCGTCTGAAGAACCACCTTGTAACCGCGTCATCTCAGTGGGACAAGTATCACGCGGCGTTCCTTGCTCGTCTTCACTGGCAACGGCGGGGAAGGTACATGGGGGCGTGGTCTGCAAGACACAATAATCGTTACCAGTGGCTGCAATTAGACTTTGGTAGGTGGGCAAAAATAATTAGGCTGGCTACTCAAGGAAGACAAGATACGGATCAATGGGTAACACAGTATTACGTGAAGCATAGCTTGGACGGAATGCGATTTGTTGATTACCAAGAGCGTAATACTAGAAAGGTAGGTACACAGAATCAGGGATCTGTGAAAAGACTGGGAAAGCTATGGAGCGGTATCGGGGTCAAAAATACTGTAACTCGGTGTTCATTTCTTCTTGTTTACTCATTATGTCGTCTTGCTGATTTGTCGTGGCGTCATGTTAACTTGTTATATAGTCTTATAACAAGTACACAAGACGACAGATTAAGAAGGCAAGACGACAAGATAAGTAAACAAGACGACAGATCAAAAAGACAGGACGGCATACCTTTAGACAATACCACATATAAAATAGACATCGACTTATTTTTTACCCCGATACTGCTCCATAGAAATCCTAATCGTGTTTGCTAGTCTGCCCTACGCTGCATTCTTTGAAGCGTTATTTGCGTTTAAGACACTAAGTAGACATCAGTCGCACACTCAGATATAGTCTGCATGTGGATTGTCTGAACGGATTGCAACTGCCATCATAACTAATTACTTTCAGCCCTGCTATCCTCAGGCATGTCTAGATTGTTTTAATTTCATGATTCATTTATATTCTACTTATTCGGAGGAACATCTTGCACAGGACCTTAATTGTAATGCTTGCATTCGTCCAGCTTCCCCCGCCCCTCAGTTGGATTCTCAATTTTTCCACGTCCTTTTTTCCTCATTCCATTTGTTTATTAGTTTTTTCCACACTTCCTCTTAGCTTCATGTTTCTTTTGCCTTTTTTCATTCTTTTATTGATTTAAATATCGAGACCTAATAAATGGTTTCACCTGTTGTCACAGTACTTCACCGGGAATCGGGATCGCAATACAGTCGTCATGTACCCGTTTAACCCGCCAATCAGATGCCGCTTCCTGCGCATTGTCCCTTGGGGATGGCGTAGTCACATTTCCATGAGGGTCGAAGCTTATGGTTGCTACACAGGTAAGAATAATTCAGTACCTCTGGAACATGCTTGGGTGCAGTGGAGAGGGCATTCACCACCCCCCCCCCCCTTCCTCCACACACACACACATCGGTGTGGCTCGGTTTCGTGAATCCCGAAGGCGACACCACATGTGGGTCTCTGAGAGGTTTTTTTCTGGGTAGCCCTGTTTCTCCCCCCCTGTTTAGAAAACAACATTCTCAATTTCCAGTCAGATCCAGGACGTTATAGGGAAGGTGACCCGTTGTGGGTATGCGATCTTAGATTTTTTTTTTTTTTTTTATCTTAAATAATAGAAGATTTGGAAGCCAAACATTAGACAGAGACTCTCTGGTATTAAGTCCCGCAGGAAAAAATATATCTTAATTATAGGGCGGGTTGTGAGTGCTCGAAATTATTTCAGAATGGGTAGAATTACAAAGTTTTTAGTTTTAAACAAGAGAGTAGTAACTAAATATAAAGCCTTGATAGCTTTGCCGAACTGTGCCCATAATGATATAAAGAGTTTCCGTTTTTAATTTCCATGAGGGTCGAAGCTTATGGTTGCTACACAGGTAAGAATAATTCAGTACCTCTGGAACATGCTTGGGTGCAGTGGAGAGGGCATTCACCACCCCCCCCCCCTTCCTCCCCACACACCCCCATCGGTGGGGCCCGGGTTCGGGAATCCCGAAGGCGCCCCCACATGTGGGTCCCTGGGGGGGTTTTTTCTGGGTAGCCCTTTTTTTCCCCCCCTGTTTTGAAAACAACATTCTCAATTTCCCGTCAGATCCAGGGCGTTATTGGCAAGGTGGCTCTTGGTGGGTATGCTTTTTTCAAATTTTTTTTTTTTTTTTTTTATCTTAAATAATAGAAGATTTGGAAGCCAAACATTAGACAGAGACTCTCTGGTATTAAGTCCCGCAGGAAAAAATATATCTTAATTATAGGGCGGGTTGTGAGTGTTCGAAATTATTTCAGAATGGGTAGAATTACAAAGTTTTTAGTTTTAAACAAGAGAGTAGTAACTAAATATAAAGCCTTGATAGCTTTGCCGAACTGTGCCCATAATGATATAAAGAGTTTCCGTTTTTGACCTCTAAAACACTAACGGCTAGACAACTTCATGGTTACTTTAAATTGGGCAAGGTTTGTTCTCTTTTTCATATATCGTTTTACATACCTTATTCAAGGTAATTGCTTGTTCAAACTCTTTAGTTTTGTTTTGCTATCTTAGACCGCTGTACGATGCCTCTTGGAATGGAAGACCGAAGAATCCTTTCGGGCCATCTTCGAGCGTCGTCGTCGTACAATTACAATCACGGACCTGACCGAGCGCGTCTGAACATCTATGCCGGTCACGGACGGACAGGAGCCTGGGTAGCGAGATATCGCAACACCAAACAGTGGCTACAAGTTGATTTGCGACAGCTGAGTATCATCAAAGGCATTGCTACACAGGGACGAAGAGAAGCCCATCAGTATGTGTCAAGCTATACCCTATCTTATAGTCTCAAGGGCGTGCGCTTTAGGATGTATTCTGTCTACGGGCGTATCAAGGTAATGTCAACAGTTTCTGGTCGTGATGTTCCATCATTGTCATATTCAACAATGTACATGTCATCGGGTGCATTAGCTTCTTGAAGGTAGAAGAAGTTGTGCAGAAATATGTCAAAAGTGAGCCGCAGTGTTTCATCACGATATCAAACACTGAGAAAAGAGTGTTTTTTGACGAACTTCAACATGTTTGGTATTGTTATGAAATACGGTATCAAATTATTGATATTGTTTCTAAAACAAAGTGAATTTAGAGAGAGAAATTATGGATGCAAAAATGAGAAGATTTTTAATCTTATTTCAAAGCGCTCATTAAACATTATTTTCTTTCGTAATTTCTTCATGAATTATTAATGAGTTTCAGAGCAACTGGAGAGGCTTGACTCCTTACTGTACAGGGATAGTGAGCGAGAAATCGCTGATTATTTTTAAATCAAATAATCTGACGTCTCGGTTTCTTTTTCTCTTCAGCTCTTCCGTGGCAATTACAACATTTACAACACTGTCTTACACAAACTTACTCCAGCAATCAAGGCTCGTTTCATCCGAATTCACCCAAGAACCTGGCGAAGTTACATCGCTATGAGGGTCGAACTATATGGCTGCCGCGCCAGAGGTTTGTTTATATTTTTTACAAGTGGGAGGGGCCTATCGGTTCTCAAGCGATTCAGAGAAACGTTTGGAGCATTCCAAATATTGCGCTTAGTAAAAGGTAGATTTGCACCTTCGTCTCATCGTCGTCTTCGTTTTGAAAACTCGTATTAATCCTCGAATAAACGCCTGTCTTCGCTCGTCTCTGTTTTGATACCGACTGAAGGGCTTAGACAACGAAGTTCTTTACGAGAGAGTGACTAACGCAGTCTGAGCAAGAGGATGACGCTAAAGATATTTACATTCACACCATTATTTATCCATGGTGGGTCATTTCTGGTTCAATCAGCATATGTAGGAAACCTCGTTAGATAGCTCATTCCTGTTGTCAACGGTTGTCGATGAGTAGCTTTTCAATACCCATTTCAGCACTGGAGCACACGTACCAGCTCCGCGATATGGCCAGTACCTTACGTATGCGCACAACCATACCACCCAGCAGTGGCAGCCATGGACAGCTGTTTCCTCATCATTAGGACTCATCAGCGTGGCATAACCCCAGACGAAAGGTCTCATTTGCTATTGTCGACTCCGCTGTTTACTGCCGAGGCGAGTGGAAGAACACTCTTTCGTGTGTACGTGTGCGCCAGTGCTGAAATAGCTAATCAACAGTCTGCTAATACTTTGTTGATGTAATGTTTTTTTATCTGCACAGAGAATTTCTGTAACCGCCCGGTTGGAATCCAAAATGGTCGCATAAGAAACTCTGCTATGTCGTCCTCGTCTCGATGGAATAACTATCACGCACCATGGCTGGCACGACTTCACCGGGCTCGCAGTGGCCGTCTGATGGGCGCCTGGTCTTCTCGCCATAACAATCATAACCAGTTTCTACAGGTTGATATGGGAAGGTCGATGAAGCTCTCAGGGATTAATACTCAGGGACGACAGGATGCTGACCAGTGGGTAACGGCGTATTTTATCCTGTACAGTTCTGACGGGACGCATTTTTCGTATGTCAGAGAGTGGTGGGATAATGTGAAGGTGAGATAATTCTCTACTGTTTTGCCTCAGAAACTAAATTCAAGGGAAAATATGATTATATTAACAAGAACGATGATGATTATGATGATGATGATGTTGAAATCATAGGTAATTCTGAATCGTAAAAATTTTAATTCGGGTTCAAGAGAATGATATTAACATGATCTAGAACCCCTTGAATAAGTCGTCTATAGTACTGGTTTTACGGAAGTGCTGTATCGCATCCAAAGTAGATGCTTTTTATGCTGTGGAAGAAAATATAAGTAGCATTCAGTCAACAATTAGTGTCTAGAACCAGCTTGCGCGGCGTCGTGAAAAGATTATAGGATCGGAAGTGGTTGCGCAGTTGTCAGATTTCATTTTCGTCTAGGTGATAACTAAAGTTGACAACTATATAAGCAAAAACGAAATACGAAAGATAACGCCTTGCGTAGGTGCGAAGCCTTATCACACTCACTGAACCTGCGGGCACAGCGTCAGTGTCATCACGTTCTGTAGATGGTTTTTAAAGATTACTTGTCCTGGCTGTTGTAGCGGGGTCAGTATTTATGTTTCCTTGCAGACGTTCCGAGGGAATTACGACAGAAATGGAATTCAGACTCACTCATTCGATCCTCCCATATACGGAAGATTTGTTCGACTTAATCCACGAGGCTGGAAGTCTCATATCTCTATGAGACTCGAATTATACGGCTGTCCTTGGAGTAAGCAATTTGTTGGTTCTGATTATTATTGTATGTCCGAAGTGTTTGTTTTTATTCTTAGTTTTAGTTTTGCCAAGAGTTATTATTCACAATTACGGTTAAGTTATTGTAACAATATTAGGAGGATCCCGCGTTTTTCATTTGCTCTAGACCACGGGTCTGCTCAGCGTGAGAGGCCTTGAAACACAGCCGCTTAATGGGCTTACATAACTTTTTAAAGTTTAAATGCTAAGTGAGAGTGTAGACCATGACATTCCTTTGGCAAAATATGATATTTGTCTCATTTAAAATTGTTGTCCTTTTTTCAGGCAAATGTGATGTACCGCTTGGTTTAGAAGACGGTCGCATCCCAAACCCAATGTTCAGAGCCTCGTCTTCATACAACTACTACTGCGCAGCAAGAAATGCCAGGCTTCACCAGCGCCGTGCTGGACGAAACGGAGGGGCTTGGTGCTCGCGCACGCGTAACAACAGACAATGGCTTCAAGTGGACTTTGGAACCGACACAATCGTAACGAGGGTCTGCACTCAAGGACGTCACAACGCGGACCAATGGGTGACAAGCTACTATGTATCATTTAGCAGTAGAGGACAAAGGTTTATAACTTACAAAGAGGGTCGTAGAACAAAGGTAAGAGAGTACAGCTTTTTTCCTTTCCAAAATCTCCGTCCTTCTCTTTCTGAGAATATTTCTGGACTATTTCAAGCGGCCAACAGGGCTCTAAACCATTGTGTGCCAAAGAGCTTCTCATGGTTTCCCAAGGGCTCTGAATTCTTAAGATAAAAGCCTTAGAATGCAACAAACTTTAGTGAGTGATAAATCTTACCCATCATAGTCTATGATGATTTTGTGCAAAATAAATAAGGATGGACATAGATCTGTGGGTATATGTGCTCTAAAGTTATCAAACCTGTCTCACAATTTTTTTTTAACTCAATAGATCTTCGCTGGCAACTTTGACCGATTTATCGTTGTAAAAAATCGCTTCTTGAGACCCATAAAAGCTCGATACTTTAGGATCAACCCTGTCACCTGGCGAAGTTGGATATCAATGAGGGTGGAATTCTATGGTTGCATTGTAGGTGAGTAAAATGTCAAAGACACAGATTTGCGTATCTGTGAATACTCTTTGGTACTTCTCGAACTAATATTTTAAAATGCACGTCAAATGCGATCTTAGTAATAGCCCACGTTGGATTTATTAAAATTCTAACATGACTTCAAGGCTTTAAAGACAAAATTGCAAATTTTTCACGAGTCCATTGTCTCGCAATTCCCAGAAGAGACTTGGTCACAAAGAAAACCAAACCAAATATAGAAATATAACCAGAAAGCCTCGGAGTCATGTTACAATTTTAATATAATGAACGTGGGCTAATGGAACGTTTCTTCAAGCTGAGGTTTCATAGTATTGGTGCCGTTGTAGAACGACGTAAGCAATCGGCAAAAAATACGTGAAACGTGACATTTCAACGAGCTGTGATAGACCTGGTTAAGTTGTCCTCCTAATATGAGTGAAAGTTCCCTTTTCCTCTTTAAGGTCCACAATGTAACAAACCACTAGGAATGCAAAATGGTCGCATACGAGCCATACAGATTACTGCTTCCTCAAGCTGGGACAAAAACCACTCGCCCAACAATGGAAGGCTCTTTTTCCGGAGAACAGGGTCCCGGATGGGAGCATGGTGCGCTCGCCACAACACACGATACCAGTGGCTCTCCGTTGATTTTGGCCGCACAATGCGAGTTGTAAAGATTGCTACCCAGGGACGACAGGACTACCGTCAGTGGGTGACTCAGTATTATTTGTCGTACAGTCAAGATAACGTTTATTTTGCTGAGTACGAGCAAAACAGTGCGAGAAAGGTAAGACAACGACCTCCGCGGCGTGCAATTTTACCGTAGTTTTTTTTATTAACTGTTGAGTCTTTCCTTGACTGATTATTTCGCTGCGGTGCGGCCTTTCTTCGTTTTAACTTAGTTTGTGATCATAGCATAGTAAGAATCCACTTCGTTTCGCTATCTAACATCATGTAGTTTATGTCATAGATGATATACACTCCCAAATTAAATCAACAAGAGCACGTAGTGTTAATTCAAGTTCTAAAAACGAGGCACAGCCGAATGATTTGACGCTTGATTGAGCACACACTGCGAATTTATTGAACGACTTCAAGAACTTTTTAATGAGCTGTTCGTGAACAACGATTTGCTATGTATTGGTTTATTTTGGCAAAGGAAATTGGTTAAACGGTGGTCTCATACGCGAATGAAACGTTTTAAGTTACTATATTATTAGGTGTAAGTTAGTATATCGTAGGCTGTCTTTGATATCTTTTAATGCCAGGTATGCAGAAAGAAAGAGTTTCTTCGCCAGAGAAGGTCAATTCTTATTTTTACATTTTTTACGTTTTTCGTTTGTTTTCAGTATTTCACAGGAAACAGAGACCAGAATACTGTGGTCCAGTATCGCTTATTCCCTCGTGTAATAGCACGTTACATCCGGGTTCATCCGTGGGGGTGGTACAAACATATTTCCATGAGAGTGGAGTTTTACGGATGCCCAGAAGGTAACGTCTATTCGGTACTTAAAACAGCTGCATAAACAAACCAAAGTAAGGCATGCTGCACGCATACCTGCAACTTGCCTAGCTCCAAAGTCGATATCGTCGTTCGGTGTTGGTCGCGTTGTGCGAATTACCAGTCTTCTCGGATGCCTGACCGTAATGGCCTGGGGACAAAACTGAACAGAAGCTGGGAAACCCAGTGGCTAGATAGAGTGTTTTTCTCCTCTTTGCGCTACATCCATTTATGGGGTCCAGTCCACTAAGTTAACAACGCGATTAATAGTTTTATTGTAAAGTATTGCTCAGAAGCTTAGGACAGTATACTCTTGAATATCATTCACCAGTAATGCGCTCTGTTTAACTGATGAAGTGGAAACTCCTCGTAAGTGGACACCTTTGTAACGCGAAAAAGGTGTCCGGAACTGGACACACTGTTGTGTGATTGCTACCTAGAAATAAATATGTGGGGTTGACTTGACATCAAAAAGGCGTTTTTGATTTCTAAATTAATCGATCCTTTTGTTTGATCCCCTATTATAGCACGTTGTTCTGTCCCGATCGGCTTTGAAGATAAACGCCTGCCCAATGGGGCTATGACTGCTTCTTCGTATTACAATCGCTATCTGGCGCCATGGCATGGTCGTATAAACCACCGCTGGTCATGGAGCGCGCGGCGTAGCACTCGTACCCAGTGGCTGCAGGTTTATTTTGGAGGCTTGGCGCGCATTACAGGAATTTCCTCCCAGGGTCGCCAGGATGCTAATCAATGGGTCAAGACGTTTGTGTTGACTTTAAGCAGAGATGGAATCAGATTTGCAAAGTATCCCAAGGTATGGTAATTCTGCTTCACAAGTGTATAGATAAAGAAGCATAAAAGGAGGCGAGGCACTAATAACGTATCAATTTAACTCGGCAAGTTCAAGCTTCCTCCACATAGACTCTAAAATCCTCAGGCCAAAAGTTCACTTGCATTTTCCACAGCTGGGATTAAGTGGTGCATGGTATAACCTTCCTTCCTCTTCGTGATCACTTTCTGTTGTATTAAAAATCTTGGTGAAATCCAAATCCCAAAACACAGAGTGATTTGTGGCCTAGACGGCATGTCAGACGCTCGAAGTCGGGCGTGGTAACTCCCGAAGGGCGCGCGAGGGTGTAAACGCCCTTCGCTTCCTCGTGCGCCTGAAGACCTTCTGTCCCTTTCCCTTCAAACGATTGCTACGCTAACATTGTTCGGGCACGTGTGATAATTTTAAAGCAATCGCAATCAGGTGCAGTCCGTTGCGTCAACTGATGCATTCTTCAGAATCATTCAGAATAATTTTTGATGAACTTGACAGCAATTTACGTGTACTGCAATAATAAATATTTTTGGTTGTCAGGTTTTCCAAGCTAACAGTGACCGTCACACAATAGTCACTAACACCTTTCCAAGATCCGTCTTGGCTTCGTACATCCGCGTTCATCCACAGTCATGGTATTCATGGGTTTCTATGAGAGTGGAATTTATTGGCTGTCCTGTTGGTGAGTATCCTCGTCCAACGACGGCTAAGAAATGTACAAAAAAGCGTGATCACTTGCAAAGTTGTTGCTTTTTTGCGGTTCTCGTTGCCGTCACCGTCTTCGTTGCTTAAGCTCCCTATTATAAAGGATGGAATCTAGTTCACATTGATTCATTTGTTTTGTCCTTTTTGAATTTCAGCACCACTTTGCAACCGCCCTCTCGGTATGGAATCTGGAAAAATCCCGACCGCACGAATCACATCTTCGTCCGCCTACAACGCTCGGTACACTGCGCCAAATGGACGACTCAACAAGCCCTTCTGCTGGATCGCTAGACACAATAATCACAACCAGTGGTTCATGGTGGATTTTAGAAGGACCACCACCCTGAGGAAAATTGCTACCCAAGGAAGGAGGGACGCTAACCAGTGGGTAACTAGATACAAACTGACCTATAGTGTAGACACGCTTCACTGGGCAACGTACAGACAGGGAAGTCAGGACAAGGTATTGTATTGCATTACATGTATAATATGTATTCTCTGACGTTTTTAAAAGAAGGGGGCGCGGGGTCGAGTGGCATAGGCTCAGCTGTCCTTGCTTCAAATAATCCGCCTTCACCACTAGCTTTAGTTGTGTCATGGTAGACCAAAATTTAACTCCTTAATCATGCTTACAAACTAACCAACCTTTTCACCGCATCTCGTTTAGGATCTTTGATTTGTTATGATCTGTTTGCAACATTAGTGTCATTCTCAAGTTGTGTTATTATGTTCCTGAGAGACCTATTTGGGTTGACCCTATATAACAAACTTGAAAATGAGAAGGCTGTCACCTTTTTTCTGTTATGAGAAACGTATTTTCCCCTTTCCTTAACTTCATTACTTTGGACTAATAAAATTTTGTTGCAGTATTTCACTGCCAATCGTGACCGCATCAGCATTGTAGAGAATGCACTGAATCCCCCGATCCAGGCCCGGTACCTCCGTATACACCCGTGGGGATGGTATGGGTACATCTCCATGAGAGCTGAGTTTTACGGCTGCAGAGCAGGTAAACTTTGGGTTGCTAGTTGTTTGTTTAAGGAAGGAGGGGACCAGAAAGCCTATGCTTTATGAATTAATGAACTATAAGTCTAGAGTCTGGTGAGCATTGGTTTGCAATATCGTCGGTTAACGACTAAACGACTAAACGACAACTGGCCTTCGTGGCAGACATGATAGAAATCACAATAAGCACAACGGCTTTCCGTCTCTTGGGACTCGTCAAATTTTATCGCTATTACTAGATTCCAACTCATTCAGTTTGACAAACGTAGTTGAATTCTCGCGGAACTAAATTATGTTGGTCTTACGCTGTTGGATAGAGTTGATTCTATTTAACCGGCTCTGAATATTAAATTAAACCTGATCCATCCTACATGGTGTTCACGCTTCCAACGTACATCAGACATCAATTTTAGATGAAGGTGGACCAGCATGTTTGTTTCAATTGATAGAGACTGTGTCTCTTTAACTTACAGACTCCTCCCTCGTTGTCTCAGAGATTCTTGGAACTAGGGGCGGCCTAAACATTGCTATGTGACTTCACGGCATCCACGTTTCATCAACGTTTGGGTCACCCCCTTTACTTTCACTGAGGTTTTTGTTTTTCCATTGTATAATTAGATCCTTGTGATATTCCCCTGGGAATGGAAGACGGGCGTGTTACAAAGCAGGCTATAACAGCCTCATCAATGTGGAACTATTACTACGGACCATGGAACGCTCGTCTCCAGTCCCGGAATTATGGATCTGTGCGCGGAGGCTGGGTCTCTAAGTAAGTTACAGACTGTTGCACCGTTTTTTTTGCCCTATCGTAACTACAGTATTGAGGCTCGCAACACAAGATAAACCCTCACCTTCAGAACTCTAAATGCTTTTAAAAGTCCTAAGGGTACATGTTCACATGCAGATTTGATCAAGTGTGCACACCGCTGTGTTGTGGTCTGATGATTGATGCAATATAGCATTCGAATCGCTATTGCTAGTTAGCACGTGACGTCATGGCCGCCATGTTGGTTTTCCAGTCAACAACTGCATTCTCATGTAAATTATATATCCGAAAAACAAAAACATCGCCGCCTTGTCACTAAGTTGCAACCAAGAATTTGTTCCGTGGCCGAGAAAGAGATTCAGACTATTACATGGGGCATGAATCATTATTCTTTTTTAGGTATAACAATGCCAGACAGTGGCTTAACATAGACCTCGGGACTATAAGCCGAGTAAAGAGATTCTCTACCCAAGGAAGATATGACGCTGACCAGTGGGTTACAAGCTATGCAGTCTCCTATAGTGTGGACAACATCAAATTTTACCCTTACAGAGAAAAGAGAAGGATAAAGGTGCGAAGTACTCCTTTACTACTGAAAAATTGAAACTTTTTTATTTCTAAGCAAAGGCAATAGCAGTGTGTTACAATTTACTAAAGGCATAGTGAGGGAGAGCTTGTTACATTTGAGTTAGTCTCACGTGATACCAATGAGTTTAAGCAAAGAGTTTTTCGATCTAAGCGACACATGTCAACCGAAAGTGGACTGTTAACATTTTTGGGCAGTGTTGTTACCCGAATGTTCGGGTAAAGCGCCTCTGTAAGACTAAAGGCACTGAGATATACAAATTTGGAAGCGTCATGGCATCGCGTTATGGCAGCGTCGTTCAAAAACGCCTCTACTTTAATAAGCTCCCTAATTTTAACGCCGTTTTAAATCTAGGCAATCCTAAATGGCGGGTTTGTTGATAAGCGCCACCTCCCACTTTTGTAAAATCTGGGTCAGTTCGGTTGATCCATCATACGACCACTTGAATGGTCAATGATTCCAGTCTCATTAATGTATATCAACACGCTGTTTTCTTAATTGTCTTATGCATCCGGGAGGAGTATGTCGTAAAGCCTCCAGAAGTGCCTAAAAGCACCTTATTTTTCTCAATGAACTTGCTTCAGGTGAACGGTGAATGCTATCGTATACCCAGTTGAAAAGAAACCTCTGTACCGCGTATAATCAAAACCTCTGCCCTACCCCGCGAAACAACCTTTGACATAATCAACATGTTGATAACTGTTTTAATAAACACATTAATTTTTTGTAGATCTTCCTTGGCAACTTTGAAAGGAACTTCATTGTCACGCACCGCTTCCTGCGTCCGTTCAAGGCTCGTTACGTGCGTATTCATCCCAAAACATGGCGTAGCCACATCTCTATGAGAGTGGAACTCTACGGATGTAGGTTAGGTAAGCATGCATTAGTTAGTCATACGCTATTGAACCGTTTGTTATTTTATCTGCCAAGGGAGTAAGTACAAACCAAGGACCACACTAGGCTCTTGTAGCCCAAACATGGCGTAGCCGGCAGGATAACTACCCCTTCACTTTCTTATTGCTTTCCTGACTGTCTAGTTAAGAACCATGAGGTACTTGATATGTACGCGCCTTTCAGGAATTGATTTAATTGATCGTTATCGATGCACAAACAAGACTCGTCTCTTTCTTCACTTGGGGACGGTTCCACAGTAGAGCCATTGCTATTTAATAACACTCAGACATTGATTTATTTTGTATTTCGTTCAAGAATTGTTAATGGCTTTCAATAATATCACTAAAATATTCATTAATAAATTAAAGAAAATCATTAGTACAAATGCGATCTATTTACTTGCATTGTAAACCTCGATCTCTCCCATTGCTGGTTTGCACGTGACGTCACGGCGGCCATCTTGGTGGTCAAGAACAAAAGCGTTTCTCTCCTCTGGAAACGAAACTTATTCGAGAAAAAATTCTATTGTATTGACCCCTAGCATGGTCGCCTTGTCACATGGTTTGCAAACCAAGAATACTGTCTTTGCAGGGAAACTTTGTAACCGTCCGTTGGGTATGCAAAACGGCCGCATCAGGAACGCAGCAGTGACGTCATCATCTCGTTGGGATAACAAACACGCTGCTCACTTAGCTCGTCTCCACAACCGTCGAAGAGGTGTCTACATGGGCAGCTGGTCCGCAAGAACTAACAACGCTTACCAGTGGCTGCAGATTTTCCTAGGCAGGCCACACAAGGTAGTCCGGGTGTCTACTCAAGGACGGCCGACTGTTAGTCAATGGGTCACGTCGTATTATTTACTCTCCAGTCAGGATGGTGTTTACTTTGCGCCTTGTTTCGAGCGAAACACGAGAAAGGTGAGGTTTGTTACCCCTTCACTCCTAAAGGTTGCCAAAGTAGAAAATTCATGAGAATTCTGAATTCCTTTTTGTAAAATCCCAAGAGTTCAATAGCACCAAACATTCTGCCAGAGAGGTTTGATTTGAATGGTAACTTCATAGGATTTCGTCCACAGACGCAAAACTTAGAATGAAAAATCATCCTGCCAGAACTTAGTCGAGAACTTTAAGTTAAGAGTTCATGTGGTCGAAAAAAGTGAAACATCTGTGATGGGGCATTTTTCAAAGTGCTTTCTAGCACATCCATTCCATGGAAATAGATTATCATTCGTACTTAAAATGACACCATTTTTATACGAATGGTTATGCAGCACGCCAAGCTCTGTTGAGGGGACTTGAAGCAACTCATAAATGGGCTATGTAAAAACAGGGTTACCGTATTAAGTCACTTGTAAACTGAAGTTCTAGCCTGTGTACATCGGATGTACTCAGTGCTGTGCAGAGATAATTGGAAGGAACTGATTTCCTAC